GACAAGTTTATAATGTTTTTATTAATATTGTCAGAGCAACATTCCGGAATGAAACATCATAATGAAATGAAATGGCAAAGCATTTAAAGTGAAACCTTCCAGTTTCTAACATGTTTTTACATTGTAGCTACTTCCGCAGTTTTCAGCAGCACTGATCTGATTAACAGAGGTTATTACTGCAGATCAAAAGGCAGGAGTATAATTTTCTCCAGCCTTAATATCGCACGAGTGGCCGGGCTCACATATGGGGCATGCTGAAATGTAGGCTATAAAAAATGGGGAGAAAAGGAGGCCAGGAACAGAAGATAAGAAAGAAGTTGAGCTCATACCACTGGGAGATGAAAAGTGTGCTGCTGACCTCTAGCTTTCATACCGGTCATGGTTATTTATTCCTCGCTTTGAAGTGTCTTTCCTCTGCTGTCATAGATCAAGTCAAGACACAAGGCTGGTCTAACCCAAATTCAGCACAGCCCCCTTCCCCTCTGTGTCTCACCAGCACAAAGACTCTGACTGCTCCTCCAGCGGTCGCTCGCATTTCCTCGCCAGTTTCGTGCCATGCAGTAATTTGTGATGGAATATTATTAACAATATTAATATACAGTGGAGGAGGATTGGTTTTCATCTGTCTTTGTGAAAGCTGATTATAAGGGGTTTAATTTCATCAGATAAGGATGGCTTCATTTATGAGCACGCACAGCTTTGGGCACCGAGCCTGACAGGCATTCAATAAGACAAGCACTCCCCCTGCTGTTCATGGCAGTGTCATCGGCATAAATAAAGTAAAACAAAAAGCTTCCTGACTTTTAATCTGAACAAAAATCCTTTTTTTAATTGATCATTTCCAACCAAGGCTGTTTGGGATTATGTGAGGGTGTGGGCATCAGGAAGCATCTCCCATTCTTCAGCAGACAAAGAGAAATCACTTTTTAAAGGCTTTTTGTAAATACTGGATTTTTAAACTAAACGTCTTTTTGCTCCTCAATAAATTTCCCTCCTCTTCCTTTTGTCTCTCTTGTTATTCCATGACGAAACAACAGTCAGGATGTCTGGGATTGACGTTCCGTTGATGGACCAAAATGAGACCGGAATCTCGTCAGTAGACAATGGGACTTTCCTCCGTTTCTCCCCGACCTCTGCCTCCACATCTGCGGCCGCCTCATCTCCGGGGCGTCCAGGGAATGTTTATGTTTATGTATGGCTCTTTCTCGGCCTGCTGGTGTTCCTTCTGACGCTGCTCGTCATTTCCCTACACAGGCTCAAGAACATCATCTCCTCTTCTTCCTCTGTCCCCGACTGCAGCAGCGAGGGAGGAAGCTCCTTCACCAACATGGAGATATGTAGCATCTCATCTCAGAGGTCCACCATCTCTGCACTCTCCACCTGAGGGATGTGGGAGGGAGCACATACAGTACAGACATATGCACATGTGCTCTCATTGGTGCATGCCCATGCAAACAAAGGCAAGCATGCACACACATATAAAGCACACAGAGGTCCAGCACCTCCTCACTGTGACATACAAACACAAAAACCTTTTGTCAGCCCCAAAGAAGCTGACATAATGGCATTACAGTCCGTGCATGCATATTCTAATTCTGGCGGGGCCATGCAATCTGCATAGGCACAGGGGAAATATCTGCTCATAATGTGATGAAGAGGTCTTGAAGGGTGAGTGTGAATGCACCCTTCTGAGTCTTACTTTCACAATTAAGACAAATGAATCTGAGATTCTGCTTTCCCTTTGCGGGGAACAGCATAATGAGGGACTCATTATCTTTTCTCCTCTTTTTTCTTTTTGTCATTTCTCGTATTGCACTCGTGTTCAACTTAGAAGAAATACTATTGTTTGAAGTGAAGCTTTGTACAGCATGCTTCATAATGTCTGTAGACTACATTGCAAACTCGGTATAAAAATCCTATTAAAGCTCTTTAACTTTGTACATGAAGTACATAGATGTGTCTCAGCTGTTCAGTAAGGTTTTGGAAATGAAAAGGCAAGATACATCCAAACTGTGATCACGTCAGGCTTGTAATCATTCAAAGTATGAAGAAAGGAGGTTGCACAAGAAGAGGACCGATAACGGTGATGTGGATGTGAAGGTAAGAAAGAAATGACGCTTGGAGACTTGACAGACAGGCACCCACGGACTCCAGCTCCAGACAGGCCAGGTCAAAAGTGCCATCAACTACAAGAGGAAATTCCGAGCCTGAAAGACAGGTCTACCAGCGCGACAGATTACCACTCTTGCCTGTCAATTTATAAGGCGTCCGATCCCGGTCTCCATAGAGACTACAGCAGCTCTGTGCTGCCATCAGCTTTTATTCCAGGCTTCGGTTAGAGAAATGGTTGTTTACTCTGAAAATACATCATTTACTTGTTTGTTATTTTTTTAATATTGTGAGTTGAAGTCTTTTTGACACTGTGACAAAAATGTATGGCACGTACAGAGAGAATTATTTGAAAACGGTTCATTCATCTTTGCCACACTTTGTCAGAAAAGTCAATAAACTGTAAAGACCACAAAGGCTCACAGATGACAGCCGCAAGCAATAAAAACAGCCAGAGCTGTCAGACTCCTTGACAAATCCTCACTGTTCTCCAATTAATCTGTGTATTTCAAGTGGTACGGTCTGACAGACTCAGCACTCCCCCATGTATAAACTTTAATCACAAAATCCCTTTAACTTCTATACATGCTGAAACATCACACTAATTAAAAAAGAGATTAGTGGCAATGCTTTCGTTTATCATTCCAGTTATAATTGAGGTGTTAATGGATTTGTTTGTCTTGCAAAATTAGGAAAATGGCTGTAGTACTAAGCATAAGATAAAGCATCAAATATACTGTAAACAAATTGGATGTAATTATTAGCTTTGCTGTAGTTTCACTTCAGCTCATTCTTCCCAATCCACGAATCCCTGGATTTTAATTTTTTTTTAAATGATTGAAAAAAAATGCCACATACAACCCAAAAATATATACAAAAATATGTATCCATTCATCTTTTATTATTAATATTTGGCCAATTGTGGTAATATCTTTATAAAAACTGTGCTAGACACATCAATAAGATGCCATAATTAGGTATACAAGACCTTAATAATTGAATTTTCGGTGGCTATACAGCTCAGTGGAAACAAAAGTGGGTACACAATATAGTAATAAAGCAATAATAACCATAAATAGAGTGCGGTATTGAACGTAGTTTTTAGGTGAGCAATGGTAGATGTAGTATAGTATAAAGTATAAATAAAGAGATTAATAACTAGGGCTGATAATGTGCAAATAAAAGTAAGTGTAGTTTGTAATTGTACAGTTAATGTTTTACAATATGATAATATGTAAACATATTGGCCTGATTTAAGGTTATTACAAAGTAATAACTACCGCAAATATTTCCAGGTAACATTGATAGCATTAAATAGCACATTCAAATACAGATTCTTTTAAAACATGAGGTGGTATTAATTTTAATATTAAAATAGTGACCATAGCCTTGTTATTTTACTATATTTCTTATTGTAATCGGATTAATAAACACCCAGGTCAGTCAGTCAATCAGATTGTAAAGTTCTGGTCATTTTAAAGTAATTAGTTTTAAATCTAATAAAAAAAAAAAAATAGAAATCAAAATGTTTCAGTATAAAATTTAGTCATATCATTTTAATATTTCATTTATAATTTTAGACTATAAAATTCACTTTTAGTGGCATAAATTGATACTTAAACTAGTGTTATTTTCTACTGCCTGGTCATTTTAACTGTTTGGCATGTAAATTTTATCAAAACCAATGTTTCTCTTATTTAGAAGCACTTAAAACATAAAGAGATATATATTCTATATATTTATGAACAAAGAGCTGAGGCATGTTTAAAATCTGCAGACCTAGTATCACAGAGTAAGTGGCTTATGTAAGTAAGTGGCTTACTGAAGTGTCCATGGGCAAGACATTGAACCCCCAAGTTACTCCCAATGGCCGGTCAGTGACTTACATTTGATGCACTGGGTGAATATGAAAGGCGCGTTTTAGAAACTTTATTAGAAAACAAACAATTTCTTTCTTCCTGTTAAAAGGGCGTTTTTCCTTCCCACTGCTGCCATGTGCTTGCTCCCAGGGGGTCATCTGATTGTTGGGGTTTTCTCTTTATTATTGTAGTCTTTACATTATAAAGCGCTTTGAGGCAAGTTGTGTTTTGGCACTATGTAAATAAAATGGAATTTAATTGAAACTGAAGCTACAGTTGGTAAGGGCTCACAACAGAAGATTGGAAAAACGATGCATGGATCCATCCTGCCTTGTATTAACAGTTCAGGCTGCTTAATGAATAAATAAAACTGAATTGAATCAAATTATTAAATGATGTTTGATGAGAGCAATGTGTGGCCATTTTTTATAAGCAGCCAAGCAAGCAAGATTGTGTTTTTTAAGAGTTGCAGCAAAGCAGTAAAATAATAATCTGTTTATAGTTTCATAGCGAAAGTTCACAAATTCAACAACTAGTGTATAATTTTAGCTTTTAGTTTAATTTTGCACATAAAGATGTTCAGCTATGAGAACAAATGACTATTTTAAACTGGTGAAATAAAAGAAAATAGATAAAACTGAACCTCTAATGTCGTCTGTGAAATTTCAGGTTGTATAATCACTGTGACAACTTTCAGTGAGGACGGCTGTTCTGTTCCTGTGTTATTTGAAGAAGCTCCACAGGAGTAGGTTTAAATGGGTTCTTTAGAAAAGAACAATGCAGGAAATGCTGAAAACTGAAAGTGGTAATTTTGTACTACTAACAGGGTATTGATGTCTGTGATGCAGGATGTTGCTATTTTCACAAACAGGAAAGAAAAAAAAACAGCAGGTAGTTCAACGAATGACAAGTGTGTGCAAAATGCAGCGTTTTAACTAGAAATCGCATTTATGGAAGTAAGATTTCACTCAAAATGGCAATAAATGTACGCGTGATACACGGTTGTGATCAATGAAAAGCCAAGTCATCAAATTCTTTGCATATTTTATTTTCTTATCATGATTTTTTTTCCAACTCACACGTCATATTTTACATCTTTGCAATAAAACATGAATACAATAGTTTTTTTTTTAGGGTTTCATAGATCCAAAAATATTTAACCTTTTTTTGGATACGTAAGTTGAACCTGTCGATAGAGTATGTGCATGTGCGCATTTGATCAAGATGGCTTCACACATACGGTACATCTCACATTTCATCCTCTCTCTCCGCCCTCCGCCCTGCCTCTATCAGCTACAGAATCATGATATTGCTTACAACTGTGAGGTTGTAAAACTTATAATCACACATGAGCTCAACGTTTTAAATACAAACATCAATGCACAAATTATCCCGTAGGAAAATGGACCTAAACGAAATGGCAGCCGACCAGAAAGAACCAAGCTAATAAATAATGATATGTGATTGGTGCAAAGTGCAAATACAAAACAAAACTTTTACATTGATTTGATTCCCTCTCTTTTTTTTTTTTTTTTTTTAAATAATCAACAAATGTGGGTAAGTGAAAGTTTGCGCTTCCAGTCTTATTCAGCTGATCAAGTCTCCCGCCAAGCCTGAACCGAGACTATATGTACATATTTGACAGAACGATCACCAAATATACAAAGGAAATCATGTCAGTCTTGTGTTCGTCATCCTTGGTGGCACTGGTAAGACCTCTTTATCATTACCTTCCCTGGCAAAACATTTACCACCGTTATTACCATCAGCCTTGTCAACATTATAATAATTATTACACAGTATTTTACATACAGCAAGTCATTAATAAATTAAAGGTGATAAGCGCAGTTCGTGTAGTGAAAGTAGAAGTGTAGACTCTGAAGGAAGCAGAGCCTTATTTACATAAAAATCTGATTTAAGCCTGCTGAGGGTAAAGAACAAAAAAAACCTAAATGAATATTCAAAAAAAGAAAAGAAAAGAATAAAACAGGTGAAATTAAACAAGATTAAACAATTTTAAAAAATTAGACCTTCCAGCAATTTTTCAAGGGTGAATTTAAGATCAAGCCAATAGCACCTGTTTTTGAACAATGGGTAGAGCTAGTTCATTTCTGACCATTTCTTATCAGTTTAGATACATATTTCATTAATTATCCACCCAATAAGCGATGTGCTGGCATCTCCTCAAATGAAAAGTAAAGAACAAAATGTTAAACATAGCCAAAAGAAAAGAAAAGAAAACCTAGGATTTCTTTGAGGAACAGCAAATGTACCAGTCCTGTGAGTGGTACAGGTATGAAAGACCTCTACAATATCTGCTCACCTTGCCTCCCCCTCCCCACTCTGCAGTCTTCTTATTCTATTAGCAGGTTTTGGTGTGTATCTTCTGGGTATTAAGTGTCTGTGGTTACACACGTGTGTGTGCGCGTACATACACGTATGCACAGAGGAAGCAGTTTCCACCAGCGCCGTCGCATCCTAAAATCAAGTGAACTTCACAAGGGAATACAGCCTAAGGTCCGGTACTTGTTTTTCCATCGTCTCTGAACCTGTAGTTTCCCCTGTGCTGCAGATACACAGCAGAATGCATCACCTCCTCGCCTCCCTCCATCGTCCTCTTCCTCGCACTGTCCTCAGTACCTGTTCTGGTGTTCGTAGTGCCAGCGGTTGAAGTCTATGTTGAATGCCACAATGCTGCCAGACGCCATGCCAGTGATCAAAGTCCTGAGGGCAGAGAACACAGTAAATCACATCTGCGAACCATCAAAACTTTTGCAATCACATCACAAAGGTGACGCAGTCTTTGTCCTCTTCCTGTTTTACCTCTGGTCGTGTGATAGGTCCATGGCACGGATTCCGGCATCACAGCCCGGATAGATGTAAAGCTGTTTGAAGTCACACGCCTGCCACACCTCAACAACTCCATTATCGCCTCCTGTCACCAAATTCTGCCCGTCACTACTTAGCAGGATTGCCTGGAAAAGAAAAAAAAGAGTCCAAGTTAAAAGAAGCTCTTGGTTTATGGCTGAATAATGCGAACACCAGTGTATGAAAATGTTTGCATTCGAGTAACCCTGACAGCTTTACCCGTGTCGAATCGTTGACCTCCATTTGTGCCAGCAGTTTTCCATTTATGCTGAAGTTGCAGAAGCGGCCTCTCTCATAGTAGATGATGCAGTGTCCCTCGCTAGACACCGAGATGAGGCGTGGCTGCTGGCACAGCTCTGGACCCTCCAGGGCTCTGAGCAGGTCCCCTGTGATAGTGTGGACGAGGCACGGGCCCTCTGAGGGAAAAGATCAAAGCAAGATAGTGTAAAGCTTTGGCAAAAGCAACATTCACTGTGATTAACGTTCACTGCGTCCACGCCACTGTTCTCTGATGTGCATCTTTTATAATTAAATTAAATATTTATTTGCAAATAAACCTCTTCTGGGCAAAGACATATAAAGATGTACAAACCTTTGGCTCCACTAATAACCAATCCCAGCTCCGCGCAGACGGACACACACACCACCTCGTGGTCATGTCCTGTCAGTACTGCTCTGGGAGCAGGATAGTCACCTGAGGAAAACACAGTTAAGAGTCAAACCACTACATTTGCAGTAAAAATGTTTCCATTGCTGTAAATATACAATAAACATGCTCTAATTATTCAACTTAATGTTTGACCTTGAAGCGCATTCATGCACTCATGTCCCAAACAACGACTAGTTAACTTGCACACATTCTGTATCCACCATTTCACCACTCACTGTTGTTAGGGTTGTCCCCTATAATATGGTGCCGCCCACTCCAGTACCACAGAAGAAGAGTGGCATCTCTGGATCCTGACACGATGTAGCAGTCTCCTCCAATGTAAGACTCTGACCTAGCCAGACACGTCACCACATCCCAGTGGCCAAAAACTATCTGGGTCAGCTTTCCTGTGGAGAGCAGGGAGGTAGACAAGTTTGCCAACGTGTGTGTGCCTCTCCTTATCAAACTCCTGGAAGGCGACGGTGGGATAAAAATGCTTCGTGATGATAACTTAATCAAGCCGTGTCTCCTTTTAAACCCGAGGATCAGTAAAAACAGCATCTACCTCCATGTGCCTGCATGTATTTCCAAAAAAGCCTGCATCTCTTCTATGTAATAAATTAATAAACATGCAAAGCAAAGACTCTGACAGAATCATAAATTTAAGCTTCAAAAAGGAAGCTGACAGCCTCGAGGAAATGCTTGCTGTACTTAGTGCTTGACATGACTTATAAATAATACAAAAACCAACCAGTTTCTGTGGAGTAAACACGGAAGCTCTTGTCCCAGAAGCCGCAGACGAGGATGTAACGGTTATCAGCAGTAACCACAAAACAGTGTGTGTTAATTTGGATGCTCTGGTCCACCAGGTCAGTGATCTGACGCTTGTTCACGCCTGAGTTGTTTGCTACATGGGAAGAAAAAGATGTAATCAGGCTAATGAGGGCAGAAAAATGGAAAATGGTTAACAGTATATCTAAATTCCCGATGCATCACGTGATGCTTTTGGCCACAGCTCCCCCAGTGATCTGGAAATTCCCTTTATCTACTTACAGAACATGTGTATCAAAACTATGGTCTGCAACTGCTTATATAAAAACAAGAGCTGCATATAAGCATCTGTGATAAATTCTGCAATAACCTATAATATTAAAAACTCCTTGATTCAGATCTGCATCTGGGCCACATCCCACCTCTGGTCAATAAAATACGACATAAATTGCATCTATAACTTTTTGAATGGATAAAATGCTGTGAATATGTGTGAGAACTGACCAATGAGAGGGTCCATCTCAATGGGCAGATGATGAGCTTGTTCTAGGGAGTATCCTGGAGCTCCACGGAGGCCTGAAGGGTTTGAGGCACAAATATTACACAGTCATACATACGCACATCTTCAAGTGGTGAAGAAGGCCTGATCCAGTGCTCTCTGATGGGAGCTCTGATGCAAGCGTACATTAAAAATTAAGTGCCTCGTGTGGCAGTCGGTACTAAAAGCCACTTAAGCTGCCCGTGATCCTGTATAATCACATTACCATGATTAATTACACGTAGTCTGTTGCGCTAATGAGGTCATTAATAAGGTTAATTGAAGCTTTAATTAACAAATATTTCTATGTCAACATCGAGGGTGTGAACAAAACAGGACTAAAGGGCATTATGAAACAACAAGAGCAAATGCTTCAGGCTCAGCTGTAAGTATACAAGCATTACCGGCTTTGGGAAATCAGTCGCAAAAATTCTTTAATAATTTAAATTTTACACGGACTTCCATCAACGTACACTCACCGACAGTGTTGTGCCAGCGGTTTACGGCGAACAGCCGGCTACATGTGACCGTCACGGCTGCTGGTATGCTGAGGTGGGGGAGCGTGTTGGCCGCGACGTGTGTCACGGGAGAGTTGGAGGGAAACTTGAGCACCATGATGACATCCTGCTGCATCTGATCCTTAAACATCAGAGGGCTCTGGGGAAGGAAACACTGGTGAGACAGACAGAGAAAGAGAAAGGGAGAGAGAGAAAGGGCAAGAGGGTAGGTTGGAGGAAGGGGGATGGAGACGAAGGGAGAGGGACAGACAGAACAGATGGGACAGAGGGACGGCAGGGGAAACGGTATATTAGTGGGAGCACAGGGTCAGAGCAGGTACACACACTGAGGGCGGCTCTAGGTCTAGGAAAGGAGGCGGATGCACCGGTTGCTGAGGGCTCGGGGTCTGACGGGTTTGGGTTGACATTGATGGCTCTGATGTAGAGAAGCAGAGGCCTCATGCTGCTGAGAGTAGCAGGGACTACAGAGAGGCTACAAACACCATTACATACTACTGTATGTAATAAAACTTCAAATAGCTTACATCTTGCTAATGGAAGCTATTCCTCTCGGAGAATGCGGACTAAAAATAATTGATGCACTGGGTAGAAATGTTTTAAAAATATGATAAATAAATGAAAACAATGAAGATTCAAAGCACTGCTAGCTCAGTAGCTCTGCAGCGCTCCTACAGTTGACTTGGTGTTTTCATCAGGTGTTTGTCTGTAAGTGCGTGCCAAGATGTGCTAAGGCTGTTGAGGTATCTCACCAGGTGCATGGCGGAGGACCGAGGTGGGTGTGGCTCGATCAGCAGCTGGGAGGGCACCTGACCACTAAGCTGAATCTGGGCCTCAATCAGCTGGAATCAGAGAGGAAGAGATGGGCTTACCACGCACAAGTTCGATTTCTGCACTTTAATGATAATCGTCAACAAACCTCACGCTGTACAGCATCTAGATTGTCTAGGTTGACTGCTCCCTCGTAGGATAAGAAGTTGAACACATTGAGAGCTCGCACCGCTTCTGGCCCTCGCTGCTTGTAGCCAAATATTAGATCAATCCACTGGTGAAGCTGGCACGACACGAACTCGCTCTCCAATGCCTGGAGAGAGGGAAAGAATCAGAGAGAGAGAATATTCGCAGTTTATCTCCAGATTTGAAGGTGAGGCAAAGAAAAAAAAGAAACAAAACTTCCAGGTTTAGTATTAAAAAAAAACAAGTCTCTGTTTTTCTCACCATGCGGTTAATGCGAACAAAATCCTCGGGTTTCTTGGCCCAGACGGGAAGCTCCACATCACTTACAGGAACTGCATCTTCGCGCATCCCGAGCTCATATTCATTACTGTTGACGAACATCTCGGGCAAGTAGTAGAACTCTGGGATCAGCTCCTTATGGACACGAGCAAAAACACATTGTTCAGTCACTGCCTCTTTTTGAGGAGCATGCTGTGCCATGTGGTGGCTTAACCTTGCTTAATGTCTGCATATCTTACTGGAAAGGAGACACAAATGATATTGTAACTGATTTTGAGTACATCATAAACAAAAAAGCACAATTAAATAAATAGAAAAAATAAAGACCTGAAGAGTACAGCCTACTTACGATGGGGAAATATTGTTCTTCTGCAAAATTACCAGGTAATTAAACAATACCGAAAATTACTTAAGCAGTACTTAAAATTACTTACAGTATAATTTGTATCTCCTTTCCAATAAAACAGAAACAATTTCGGTTAAGCCACTCTATAATACAGCCCACACACAGGTACAGCCTACTTGCTCTGTAAGATGGCAAAATATTATTTTGTTTTCTGCCAAATTACCAGAAAATTATGCAGTACATGAAAATAATTATGCAGCACTTAAAATTACTTACAGTATAATTATTTCTTTGTTACATGTAAAAAACCAACTCGTTATTTGTTGTTTTAGTGGAAGCTAAATTTAATTTCAATGCATTTTCATATAAAAAAACATTGAAATTGTTATATTATAAAACGAACACCCCAAGATCAGAAACAAACAGCCAACAAACCAAAATCACACAAAATACCTAGCCTGGTGAACATCTAACAATCCACCCTCTGCACTCTCAGTATAATAACAGGCTATGCTGCTGCTTTAGTTAACTGGATCTAAGAAAAATCCACATCAATTATTGACGCTCCTTTAGCAAATTATTATCAAATATTTCACATATGGTACTTTCAGCTGCTCCCTTATTTCCCAAGGGGTCACCACAGCAAACGGCTCCACATGTCTGATCTGGCACAGATTTGTCACCAGATGCCTCTTCCTTCCCTGCAAAACTCCCATTTATCCTGGAGTGCGACCACCGCTGACTTGCAAACCCTTAAAACTGGGGTTGTGCCTCCTCCTGGAATTAAGCTGAGGACCTTTCCTCATATGCAAAACAAATATGTTAACCACTTGAGGCCATAAGGCCACTTCTAAATACTTTCAAATTGGAAATGAAAGAAGAAAATCATAATTTCATGCTCCTGGTGTTAGGTCTCAGTGCGGATGGATTTTATGCTGAATACATCTAGTCCAACAACCTCAAACCAGTCACTTCAGTAGGTTGTTCCACGTTACCTTCACATCAGCCGTGTCCCTCTGGCAGTTCCTCCACGAGCGACCGATGCCAGAAAAGGCTCTCTCTGGATGGTCGAACTTACCATCATTAGCGCTGAGGAAAAATGTGGTAAAGGGCTCCTACAGGAACAGAAAACAGACACGTTCATGTGAAAAGCAGCCCTGAGTGTCTGGCGTGTGTTTAGTTAGCTGTTTCCAGTTTATAAGTGTGTTAAGTAGGCACTCACTATTCTGAGCATCCACATCAGTGTTGAATGAGCTGTGGAGTATAAGGTTGTGTAGTGGTGAGGAGGTGCGCTGTCGTCATCCCATGTCTCGTAGCGCTCAGCATAAAATGCTGCTCGTTTGGGATTCAGGGCACCGATTGGCTAGAAGAAATCAGAGAGAAATAACTGGATGAATACTTTGAAGAGAAACCACACATTAGCGTTCTTCTGCATAGCGGGGTGTATACGCTCTTGGTGGGGATGTGATAAGGAGAGATTTGTGCTATTCCTTGGTACATTATGTACCGTAAATGCTATTTTGTGACTTTGATTCATTTGAGTTGATAGCATCTCCAAGTAGCACACACGCAGGAAATTGGAAAAGGTGCATAAAGAGTTTTATGGGTGGGAGCTCTAACCTTGGAAAGGTCTCTGAAGTTGCCCGGTAGTGTGAGATCGAGCTCCTCTGAATCATAGTTGGTCAAGACCCAAGGAAAGACAGGGTACTGGTTCAAATCATTATAGGTCCTCCCTGCAGAAGACACAACAGCCATCAGCGACAACAGTGTGGCGTTAGTCTTGTTATAAACTGCAAGGACACACACACACACACACACACACACACACTACTCTTAGATTATAACAAACTATAAAATGTCTGTGTAAATGTTACTCTGGGAAAAGAAACGTTGCTATAAATATTTTAAAATCTTACACATCCATTATGCCGGACTCGTGCTGAAATATTAACGAACCGCTGAGCCCAGATGAAATGTTATACACACATTAACTAAAGACGCATGTTTTTAGTTAAAAAAAAGAAAGTCAAGCAGAGAGATAAAAGTACAAACTGTTGATAAATGATGTCAGGAGTTAAACAAATATTCACTCAGTTTCTTTGTGTGCTTCTGACACTTACTCAGTATCTCAATATGTATTAAAACAAGTGGTTTTATTCATTTTTCTAAATCTGTTTTCTAGTATATAAAGAACAATTTGGCAAACTGCAGACAAAGCATTCATCTTATTACAAATCTGTCACCTTCTTTGTCTGCCCTCTTCATTAAAGTGTTTATAGAATCACCAATGAAGGAAATACACAATGGAAGTGTGCGTTTTCTATCCTTGGCAATCGAAGCAACCAAATAAGTTTAAACTGCTAAAAAAACTTCACAGTGAATAAGAAATGTCCGTATGACTCAGCAGAAATGTTTGGACATATCAGCCAGATTTGTGTGCTTGACCGATCTTCTGTTCACACGTATATCATTGACAGGTCCAGAGGTAGAAGAGTCAGCGCTCATTTAAAGTGGACTTCACCTGCAATAGTGTTGAGGAACATGAGGTACTCAAAGTTAGAGATCTCTCTCCGCTGCCAGCGCTGCGTCATGTTGGATGACTTGAACAGCTGGCGAGGAGTGGCCAAGGAAATCCGCCTGAAATGTACACACACACGAAATGTAATTCTCCATTTATCAAATCTTGGCATTGCCCTTCGAAGACAGAGCTGTGCATACCTGGCCTGTGGCAGACCATAACTCGTTCCTACACCGACCCGCGGGAGACTGTAGACAACCCGTTTAACGGTGGCCTGGTCGGGGAAGTTAAACATCACAGATGCTAGAGGGAGAACAAGATACAGTTAATGCTGATTTAAAATGAACCACTCACTTAACACTGAGCTAATATCCAAGAGTACATTTAAACAGATCAGGTAGTGTAGTCATTCTATACTAAAGCGGGTTAATTGCAGTGTCACCTGTGAGTATGATCGTTTCAGTAAGAACTCTGGAGACTTACTTCTGTTGGCCATGAAGACTTCTAGTCCAGTGTTCTGTAGCAGGTATCGTCTGGAGAACACAGCTCGGATCTCACTGAACATCCATTTGCCATGCAAACCCTCCGAGTAGGCAAGCACCTAATGAAGATGCACATTATTGGGAAAAAAAGCACAAAGAAAGACTTATAAGTTAACCCTGTAATTTACCGGTTTTCCTCCTCTCTCTTTCTGTGCACTGATCACTTATAAAGAAAAATGATTTGTTCTTACTTTAGGGTCCATCTTCTTAAACGCAGTATCTTCTTCATCTACCTCAAAGTAGATCTCAGTAGTAGTGATGGACAGAGTGCCTCGAGCCACCACCACTGGTGCTACCAACTGAGCTGGAGTACTCAGAACCACCGGACCTGTGGGGACAAATTCAAGGGTCAGGCATTACTATCGGTAGTTATACAAGTATCCGGGTCATGCCAATAAGCATGATCACAGGAGAATATAAAACAGCACATTAGGGTCATTTCATGTTAGTTAAGATTGACCAATCATTGGCTTCTTTCCCCTCTGTTGGAAACAACCGATCGGTTATGAAAGCCAGGGAGGAATCACTGGATTAAACAAGGTGTTTGATCTGATTTGCATCAGTTTTTAGTGAATTGTGATTTAATCTTCTGTGAGATAAATCAGCCAGACGGTTAGATTAGCTGCAAAGCTTTCAAATGTCAAACTTGCCTTTGGAGATAAAAAGTCTCGGACGAAAACGTACTAAAAACAAGAGTCAGAGAGTTTATTGTTCAGCTGGACTGTAACAAAGTCTGTGTGTGTGTGTGTGTCTGTGTGTGTGTGTGTGTGTCTGTGTGTGTGTGTGTTTGTTTGTTTCTTACCAGCGAGGTTATCGATCTCTTTTTCCTGCAGCAGACTAACAGCGTCATCGTCTCCCTCCAGCATGAGCTCTGCCTCCGGGTTTTGGGTGACCACCGACTGACTCCGGAAATTCTTTTTTTTGAGTCCCTTCTCCTCGTCTTCTGTACCTGTTTATGTTTAAGTGAGCATGTTAGAATATGCAGGAAAAAAACAAAACAAAGCAATATTTGTATGTTAGTAAACATTACTGACTGTACTCATCGAGAGCTTTGAGCGGCATGTCGGCGTGAGTAGATCCAAAGGCATTTCGCACGAATCTCCGCCTCCTCCTGAGGTCGTCCTCCCAGTAGTCTAGACGCCAGAAGTCGTGTAATTGGCTGAAAGTCGGGAGGAAAAAAGATGAGCAATTTCAGTTGAGGCACTTGTCTAAAGACAGAGATGACGTTATATGTGACATTTATGCTAAAAACCACCCAAACTAATTTCCTACAGTCTAAAAGGTTCCTCGTTATTAGGATAAAGGGCATCATTTGACCATGAGGGCTTTTCCAACTCTACAAACACCAATAACGGGCTTTTAGATAAAGAGGAAGAACAAATATTGTTGAGTTATGAACTGTAAACAACCAACAGTTTCTTTAATAGTGGCATAACGGATGAAGGATGGATAAGGTTAGATGTTACATGTTACATCACATGTGGCCGCCAGCCTGTAGGAAGGTCTGGATGAGCAAATGCTGAAGTGCATTAAAACAAAATAAGGACATCAGTCTCTTGATGCTTCCAGGCAGTAAATATATTAGGAGTCAGATACTGCACATTTTTATTACCCATTTCATTAATTTATATCAAAATCTGACTCCTTACTCATACTCCTGCAGGGATCGCTCGTGAGATTACACAGTGATGGTCTACCTCTGTGACATTGTTCCCCATGCTCCGTGCTTATTGGTCAGGATGTTGAGGATCTTCTGTTTCAGCTGGTTAGCAGTCACATGATCTCTGTGCTTAGCGGCGCTGATGAGGTGATCACACATTTTCTCCTCCTCCCTTCGGTCTGCAGCGTACTGCGCACAGTTAGACTGGAGGAGAAGGGGACGTGGAAAGTTAAACAAGGACCAGAAACAGTAAGACCGTGGACCATTACTGTGACGAGGACATGGTGCTAACAAGGAGTCAGTAGGTGATCAGATGAGGATCCTTAGTATTTACACATCAGGCCGATACACGCGTGGATAACTGCGTATCTTATATTGCACATATGCTAACAAGATTTATCTGAAGTTATTCCGAAACTGTCAATTGCAATCTAATGTAAAAAAAAAACTGTAAAAAATGTTTATATAAAAAAATATACTGATAGTCCATTTACTCTTAAATATCAACAATTAGTTGATTATCATTTTCTTGGAGGATCAAGGCTGTTTGTCAACCCTGAGATGAGAAAAAACTGAGTTTTCTGTTCCAAAAAGAGTTGAATAAAACTTTGAGGCATTTATTGCGGTAACAGACTCTGTGAACCTGTCTGCTGTCTGGTTTTAGTTCCTCATTTGTAAGGCTGATAGAAAAATGAATAGCAGAGTGAATTCATCGCACAATTTTATGTCTTTGCAGACATGAAATCCCAATTATATACGGTATTAGCTTCATGTTATATTTCACACAAGTGCTTTTATGATCAATCAGTCAATGATGTCAGCGCATAGACAGCAATCAGTGGACATCATGGATTTATGAACAGTTTAAAATAACAGGCTACATCTTTCTAACTCCGTGATTCTTTGAACAATAATGCAGCTGTTTTTTCTAAAGAAAAAAAGTGTTTTTTCAAGTCACTTCACTTCAGTGACAGAAATATTTGCAAATGTTTTAAAACTAAAGTTTAAATATTAAATTTAAACACAATAATTTGTGATGCTGTAATCGCTCACAGTGACAGAAAAAGTGGGAGCATGACAATAAAACAGAACGAAACTTTGTAAAGTTAAACAGGCTGCAAATATATGCCTCGATATGCATCGATTATACATTGATATGCAGTTACTAGATGCATAATTTGTAAAGGTTTCAGTGTCTGAAAATTCACAGTTTGAAAACTTTGGGGCCATTTCCACTAAAAATCATCTAAATCGGTGATACTGGGTGTAAAAATTTGATTTAGAAATCAGTGTACGGTCCGACACTCAGCTGCGGTCATAAGCTGTGGGTAGTGGCTTATCCACAGAGACTGCTGACCCAAACCCAGACGATGGTTGAATTGACTCTTTTCTCATAAGATAAAAGTCATGGCCCACACCGACTCACACTCATATTCCAATGGATAAAAATAAGCTCTGCTTATTATTTACTTGTTGCCATGGTGACTCTTGGTATCAGAGCTCCATTAATGATGGCTTTTTGCTCCATTACTTATGCATGCTCTTAACGCAGAGTTTACTGACCTTATTTCTGGAGCTGAAAACTTAAATTTGTCCAACCCAGAGTTCAAAGTTAGTTTGTTGAACCTGCTTTCTGGAAAATGGACCAGATAAACCTGAACAATATTTACCTGAAGCCCTCACAAAACAAAAGGACTTCACTTATCTGCACTGCTGATTTTTTTAAAAACGTTGAAAACAATACATATCGTCCAGTTTCTGTGGCTTCTTGCTCGCATACATACAGCAAGTGACAAACAGAAGTTGTATTTTGTGCTTATACCTCAAATTCAGCATGTTTGTGTACATCCTCAGCCCTCTGTCTGTTCAGGATGAACTCTGCTTCATTCGCAACGCGCACAATATGATCCTTCATGGCATGGCACAGGAGTCTGGCAGTGGGAGTAAGTGGAAAAAGAGCAAAAGAATAAAATAAAATGGAAGGAACCATCTCTATTTAGAGAAAACATAAATTCTCAACAAGATGGGATGTGCAGCAATAAGAATGGCTAATGATTTCAGCTAACATCTGCTTCATTTTCAATGCAATGCTGTCGTTTTCCACTTTGTGCTTTCTTTGTTGGGTTTGCACTGATACTCGGGTAGTTTGGAGTAAAAAGGAAAAGCAAAACTGCAAGCACTGAAATTAGACCGGCTCAAATCAGCTGTAAATGTAATTGCACAATAATGATTCGACTTCCTGCTGGTCACACATGGCACTGTGCACTTATCCTGGCAAGGTTCTCATTAGGGCTCTATCACACCCATTAGTTGTTAAGCACTGATACAGAATTAGTGTTAATGTGTGAATTACAGAGTGATGTGCTGCGATAATCATTAAGTGTGATGGATTACCTTCCCTCATTGATAAGCTCAATGAAAGCGAGTCCAGCATTCTTCTGAATTGAGTTCTGCCACTCCTAAGTGTAGAAGAGACACCAAAAAGAGTACGATGAACCACAGCTGGGAGTAAAAAAGGGTAAATGATGAACAGGTCATGCCATGTACACACCTCTACGGGTCATTTTATACTGGTTTTATTCATGTTCTAAACATGTAGTCAGTTTATTTTGGAGACTAAAGAATGTTAATTCATTTACTGTTGGTTTTACAATGGCTCATGAAAGTGGATCAGAGCATCAGAATGACTAGTGGCGCAATATACAATTACCCAAATACTTCAATAAAATATGAAATAAAACATATGATTTACAAGTATTTTACTTGAGTGTTTCTGTGCTATGCTGCCTTCTACTTCTGCTCTCCATTTCTTTGTTTTAAAGAATTAAATTGTAATCCTTGAACACTCACAGGTAATCTTACTACGATACACAAAATCTATGTTTGGGTGTCTGTTTGTTTGCAAACTCCTCTTAGCTCATCAGGAGTTGAGCAGCCAAACTTGGCATGCAGGTACATCTTGGTGCCCCGATGGTTCTTATCCATATCAGACACTATGGCGTCATCATGTTGCCTAGCAACAAGCTAAAATAATCCATTTATGCACCTGTGAAATCTTATAAAATGTATCATATAATTTTGTCACAAACACATTTTCTTTATATTGCCAGAATCTAAATTAGCGTACTCCCTTCTGAGATCAGAAAGGATGCTATATTATGATGCTGTTATATTGCCTAGCAACCACATCTACCACCCCATTTTTAAACATTTCTCAAGTTTATCAAGTAAATCAGTTTGGAACCAGCACCGACAGGCCAAACAATATTATAGCACGGGCATGCAAATGCAATGCAATGCAATGCAAAGTATATACACATGTAGTATCTACTACAGCTTACACTACATATCAGTATATACAGGATTAACAATTTATAATATATTTGTACCATATTCAGAGTTACATCTGAATATCTTTGTATTTGATGAAAAACAAAGAAAACACATGACGGTTCAGTTCCCATAAACATGTTTTAATGGAGTGTTGAATTTAATTTTTCTTTTAGCCTGCAGTAGGTTGAAGTTCCTGCCTGGGAAACCTGCTGAAAGCACCTCAGAAACGCAGTGACAGCAGATGCCAGAGCAGCTTCACTGATCCGATATTGATCGCGTGGAACTCTACAGGAGGGATGATTATTCCAAACGATATTCCCTCATTTGGTGTCTTGATAGTGAAAGTGGAGAAAACTGGTCTCCCAGAATTCATCTGCTATAGGCGTTCAATATACTCAAACTTTCACTGAGCTCTCGTGACATGCAATGGGGGCACTGTCATATACTGGAAAGGATCTCTCTCATCAGGATAGAGAAGTTTCAATACAGGACAAAACTGATCTGCAGCCAGCATTTCCTCAAACCATGACAACACAAGTGTCCTGCTTTCTTGGCCTTCTTGTTTTCATTAAACATCAACCTAATGACCAGCATCACAGTGATAAAATATGTGTTGGTAATTGATATTTTCAACCAATAATACTGAAGTATTTTTTCCACTAATCTAAAATCATCCAGGCCATCCTTTTAAACTATGATTCCTCCTTCAAAGCCACTTATCTTCAATTATGCTAATTAAAACAACAACTATGCCTTCTTGGCTTTTTAGTACATGCCAGAAACCCTTGATTATTAATACACAGTACTGCAGTGAACCTGTGTGAAGGCATCTGCATTTGTTATATCGGGGATTTCCTTTAATTGGTCAAACATTTGTTCATTCTTCCACAGTAAATGCTGTTACATCATCAGACCCTGACTGGACGAGCTGATCAACACGTAAAAGGCTTAAAAAAGAAATTTAAAAAAAGCTTTATTTCAGAGGACATAAACGGTTTCATCATTTACCATTGACTGTGTGAAAAGTGCACAGTAGTGCAACACTGATCAAAGGAAAGATGAAAGAAACAAGTAAAAATGCTCCTGTCTGTGAGAGAATGGAGAGTGGAGAAGGGTAAGAGTGCTGCTGAAAGCCTCAAACTATCAGACCTCCATTAGCTCCACTGGCTCTTAAGGCTGTGAAGGACACGTGGGACTATCTCCTGTTACATCCCCCCATCCGGAGGATCGATTTCTGGGCTAGGGTTTGCTCTCCCGGGTCTCTAATGGCAGACAAGGCCGGAGCCAATGGTAATACTATACATGCTGACGAGCAGCCACCCAGAAGTGGAACAGAGAGGAAAAGAAAAGGGAGTGGTAAAGAGAAGGGCAGTGTGGAGAGTGGTATGAGATGAAAGCAGTTGCTCCTGAAACACCGATTTAAAAATGACCACGGCTGAAGATGTAAGAGGACAAAAGGCGAGAGAGAAGATGACATAGAGGTAAAGATGAAGAAAATGGAGAGCGAGAGGATGGAAATGAACGCCTAAAAGAACAAGAGCGCTTTGAGAAACTTTACAACTTAAAAGAAAAGAAAAGCTGGTGACAGGTTCCACTTGTGAAAGGCTCTGCGAAGGTAAGTGTCACTCTCGCTTTGAGTTTTATGGAGTTTTATTGAAGTAAACTGAGCTTACTGGCTTACTGTGATAGCAGACGGATAAATGAGCCAGACAAAACGAATTAAGATGTAACGTCTGTGACATAATGTGTTTTTATGTAAAACTTAAACCTTGCATATGTCACAATTCTAGCCCTGATTTTATTATTATTGAGGGAAAACTATGCTGTGATATTAGATTACATCTGCAATGCGCTTATTACACAGTCGTCCCTACCTCACAGGGCAGATCAATAACTCTGAAGCTTCCGGTGTGCTCTAACCCCCCCACCCGAAAAAAAAAGCCTTTCAAAAACACTTAGGCACGTCAGGTTTTGACAAAACTGATTGAAAGCGTGAGGACATTTCATCAAGACACAGAGAGGAGAGGTGAGAAGTTACCAACCTGAGAACAGAGCAGCATTACGAGCTCCACCACAGACGTGCTAGACTTCATACAGACCAGACCTGTGGCACAGACACATACAACACAGTCAGGAGCCTCTCTTTTATTCTCTGTGACACACACACACACGCACGCACGCACACACACACACACACACACACACACACACACCACTGCAAGATACAAAAATATCATCAAGAAGACACTGTAGTGTCAGCGGTTTCTGCTGCTGTGCACAATCATCGTTTAAAAAAAGCATGCCACAGAAAAGACAAGAACAAACGGTGGAGAAAAAGATGAGGGACACCAGGAAGCAGGTGAGCAGAGGCAGGACTGCAACGCATTTAGTACAATCTCTTACACCCGTAACGCTAAAACTGGCATAATCTTATCTAAAAATATTGACACATCTAGCTAGCTGAATAGAAACAGTGCAAAATCCTACCTGCTTGACGAATGGGTGAAGCAGCCAGTTCTCTCACACACACACACACACACACACACACACACACACACACACACACACACACACACACACACACACACACACACACACACATATCACCTCGTTCTCAACCCTCCACTCACTCTTTTTCGATCTCACTCTGTCTCGCGCACACATACATTACTGTGAGGGACAGTGAATGAGGAGACTCCACAGAGAGACGCCAGTTAGAGAAAAAGGAGCCGTGTACAGCACCTGTACCTTCTATGAGCAGCTCCTGCCCATGGCTACCCAGCAGCGTCCTGGACAGGAACGGAGCAAAGTCCACAAATATCTCCCTGAGCAAAGGGGCCACCTTCTCCAAAGCGCGCTCCAGCTTTGTGGTGATACTGTGGCGGAGATAATCGAGAGACAAGGATGAAAACGATAGGCGGGCCGATAACATGAGCAACATACAGATGAGGGTACAAGAGCGTTTGAGGAAAAATCTCAGGGGATATACAGTAGGCGAGAAGGGACAAATGTGAATGAAAGAAATATGTGGAGACACGTGAGAACAAGGAAGGGAGGCACAGGACACAGGAGAAGAGAAAAAGCAGGTGAAGGAAACAGAAAAAAGTGCAAGTCGGACACAGAATGTAGAAAAAAACGATGGTGTGGTATGGAAGCAGTATGTCTGTATTAGTATTACTAGGAAAAAGATGAGTTAGAAAGGATAATTGTTAGCCGGTCAGCTTAGCACTGTGGGATGAGTGAAGGTTAAAGTGTGATAAAAACTGAACCTGAAAAACTGCCAGACTTGTCTCTTGAATGGTATACTGCGTCTTTATGTGTGTACAGCTGCATTTTAAATGCTTTTCCATTCTTTAGAAATTGAGACATGAAGAGTACAAAGCAGCAGACTCAATTATGGAGCCGCGATGGCAGTGAAGTTTATATTCCTGGCTTTGTAGGTAATGCGATCTCTGAAACAGACCTGGGTCGCTAATCTACCAATTGTGGTTTTGTTTTAACCTGCTCGGAGAACCAGATGATTTGCGAAAGCTGCGGTGAAGGTTAAAACAAGCATCTCGACTCAGGTCTGGCCTGGAGTTTGGGGTTAGTGTGAGGAGATGACCATGCCAGAAATGACAGAGTTGACTCTGCTACTGAAAAATTGTTGAAGCTGTTGAGGAAGTCGGCCCTTTCTTGCATGGCATTCTGGGAACATTTAGTAGTGGTTGGGCGTGGCAGAGGGTGTGTGGTGGAGGAGGGGCAGAGGGAGGGGCATGGGGACAGGACGAGTATCTCCTTGCCTAAAACACTGTCCTGCATCTCGGGGGGCTGCCTGGAAGCCAGCCAGAGAGCTAAAAGACTTGAGCTCAGGGGGCGTCTGACCGCTGCGCAGCGCACACTGCGCCACCTCACAATAGGCACTGCAATACAAACCACACACACACATAAAAACACACGTGCAGACATGCGCACTGATTAAGGGAGACATGCACACGCATCCCACCCACTCCTGTGTGTGTGCACTTTTAGAAGAACATGTGCAGCCATGTGAAAAAAACTTTTTACACAACTATATGGAGTCCTGTGAAAAACCTGTGAAAGTAAACCCCACGATTCACCTTACAGAGCAAAGTAATGATTTCCTGATTTCCTTATCAGTCTCTTGCATCGCTGTGTGGCGATTTTGGCCCACTCTTCTTTACAGCACTGCTTGACTTCACTGAAGATTTCAGGCATTCATTTATGCACAGCTCTCTTGAGGGCCCACCACATTTAATCAGGTTGAGGTCTGAGCTTTGATCATTTTCTTTTTCAGCCATTCTGTTGTAGATTTGCTGCTGTGCTCGGGATCATTGCCCTGCTGCATGACCCAATTTGGGCCACGCTTTATCTGACAGACAGATGGCCTCATGTTTTACTCTAAAATACTTTGGTATAACAAAAGGAGCCAAAAAGCAGGTTCTTTGGCTGAAAAACAAGCAACATTACACCCCTCCACCACCGTGCTGACAAGCATGGTGCTGTGCATTACAGCTAAACATCTCCACTTGTTGTGGTTTGTTCAGCTGTGCAGCTTTGCAAACCTAAGCAGTGTTACTATGTGGAGTCTGAGATGTAGTTCTTGAGTTTTCTGCAGTTTCCCTAAGCATTGCACATTCTGACGTTGGAGTAAACTTGGGGAAGATTGCGGCATTATGCTTAAACACAGCTGAATTCTCCAGAGCAGCAAACTGCCAAAAATCTGCTTTCATAGAGATGCTCACACGTGGCGATGATCAATTAATCAGGTGCATTTGATTAGCAGCACCTGGCTGCGACTTACCTTCTTAATTCCGTGAAGGTGTACTTAGTTTTTTTCACAGGACTGCACAGATTCCTGCGAAAACTTGCTTTTACACATGACTGTATCTGCTAACATGTCTAAGTAGAGTACAACAAAAATGTTACAGTGCAAACTCCTACAATGGTAAAGGAACACTGCTAATCACGCTAACTGGTAATTAGTAAAGACCTCATGTTGCAGATGATCATAATTTTTTTAGTGACACCTATAAAGTCTGAAGACAAAACAGATTTTTGTTAATGACAAGTTCATTTACATGTTTACAAATACAAAAAAAAGACTGTTGAGCCTAAGACATTAACGGTCTTAATTAGTAAGTGGTGACGTTTTCATACAAAGTTTTCATATCAGAGGTGATGAGCATCATACTGTACGGTAAGTGAGAAGTGTCAGGGGTGCGTGTGCATGACAACATATAATATGTGTGGCTAGAAGATGATTAATATTAGCTGATATTAGCTGATGGAACGATACCTGAACCCGTCTTTTGCGGTTGATTAGTTTAGCATGTCAAATGTGGTGTGTCTTACATGAGCCTAATAAAAATGTCCACAGCCACATCAGTCCAGAAAAAACTTCATCTTACCCTATAATCCTGTAATGAACGTGTAAGTGAAGTGAGAAATCTTTAGGGAGGATGAAGGGACAGGAATGAGGCAGGAAAAAAGACAATTTAACATAAAAAACAAAAGCAGGAGACAGGGGGACAAAATAAAGTAGGATGGAACTGAACCTATGAAATGAAATGGCCAAAGGCTGTATGATGGCGAGAGTTCTGACCTCATATTCTCCATGGTGTCTTCTGGCATTGGTGCCACTGTCTGCACCGCTGGCAGATTCTTACTAGTTGCACCATTGACAAAAGATGAAGAGGAAGATGAGGATGAGGAGGCCGAATCTGCGGCACCTGGACAGGAGGGAAAATAGTAACAAGAACCAAGATTAGTATGAAGTTAACAGTAATGGTAGTAATAAAGGAACTGGACATGCTGCTGCTTGTCCTTTTGGTAATGGCCCCGGTTTGAGAAAAAAGCTTTTCAATCAATATACAGAATCCATTCCAGAGAACAAATCCCTTCCTTATCCATTATGCATGTATGATAAAGTACAATATGTCTAACAGGCTGACAAAGCCTCAAATAGAAATCCACTCTGCTGCAGTGGATCTGCTGAGCATGATTCTACTCAGAAAGGATGATCTGCAAGTCTGCTGATGTTGTCGTTATCCTAAATTTGGGTCAAGGATCATCTAATAGACAATATCTCTCTGTTTTTTCTGCATTCAGTATTAAGTATGAGCCATATGTGCAACGTCCACCATAAGATAAGTATCTTATAGTTGCTGCGCAGTCTGCAACTTCCTTCATCTGCCCTCATATACAAGCTAAAACTAACCCTGAAAGGATCTGCTGGTTCAGTTTGCTCTGCCTGTTAAAGGACAAAAGCATGAAGCTTCAAAGACTTTTTGTAACAAAAGAAGAAATTCAACCCTGCTTGATTGAGCGGTTTCTGAGCTGCTTGAGGCCTTTTACACAAACACCTTTGTCATGCTGCAGTTCTCTATGTGCTCTATCTCCTTTAGCACACACACTACCAACTGGGCAAAAGTCTTTATGAGTAAAATATCGAATATATGCACGTCGAAATTACACGAGTAGGTTCAAAAAGACATGGGTGGGTTAAGTGTGCGCTACAGCTGTGTGTTCTCTCCCACCTGTAGTGTTGATCATGCTCTTGGGTGTTGCTGTTGCAGCAGCAAAAATGTTGGGTGTGCTGCCAGCTGAGGCTCCTCCGCTAGTGGTGGGCGTGCCCACAGTGTTGACTGACAGGCTGCCGGGTGGAGGCTTTTTGACTGGAACCACGACACTCCTGTGAAAGACGAGACATAAAGGCATCAGGCAAACATGTATCCATGTATTTGTTACGTCTAGACCTTGAAATAGGCTTATTGTAAAAGTACAGTGAGAGATAGTTCAGGAGACATACACCTTCTCCATTTTCAAGACTTATCTTAAAACTATGCTTTCTAATAAACCCTGTAGGTCAGGTGACCCTGAATCATCCCTAAGTTAAGCTTCTACAGTATAAGCTCAGACTGTTGAGGGACATCCCATGACGCTCTGAGTGTTTCACGTCCACTACCCTCTGAATTCTCCATATATGCATATACGACCACTGCATGCGATGTGGTGCATCCCATTTGCTGTTTGCCATTTCTCTATGATCCTCTTTTCTGTTTTGTCTCCGTCCTAAACCCCAACCAGTCATGTCAGATGGCTGTCCTTCACTAAGCCCGGTTCTGTTGGAGGTCTCTTGCTGTTGAACGGGAGTTCTTCCTCCCCACTGTCGCCTAGTGCATGGTCAGACTGTCAAATCACTGGGTTTTACTGTATGCTACAGCACCAAATAAATAAAATAGAATAGAATAAACTCTTTTCCCCACGAAGATGACATTTGAAAACGTCCTTTGTAACACTAATGATGAGTTTTGACACCTCAGTATATATCAATAAAGTTAGAATAGTTTCTGAGTTTTTCCAAGGGTAGACCACCCTCACTAACTTCTTCCTATTAGGCTTTCAAGGGGTAAGTTCTTCTTCAGACAGATGTGCAAACATCAATTCAATTCAGTTGTATTTATATAGCGCCAAATCACAGCAACAGTCGCTTCAAGGTGCTTTCATATCGTAAGGCAGACCCTACAACGTGGGTAGACAACTCCAGGCCTCGAGTGCTGTGTTGGATCAAGGATCTAAAACCTGCAGGACACCGGCCCTCGAGACCTGGAGTTGCTCATCCATGCCCTATAATAATACATACAGAGAAAAAAACCCAACAATCATATGATCCCTATTAGCAAGCACTTTGGGGACAGTGGGAAGGAAAAACTCCCTTTTAACAGGAAGAAACCTCCAGCATAAGCAGGCTCAGGGAGGGGTCTTTCAATGTAGAAACTACGGTTTCTTAATTTAATTAATGTATTAATTGACCTAAGAAACAGAAAACTTTCTTTTAGCAAACTCAATTTTTCTACCTATGAATCATCATCGCTACATTTTTTTCACATTCCTTTTAGTACCAGTGAATTTCAGGGCCCAGTAATGTCCCCAAAGATATCGAGACATCCTCTCAAAGAGTAATTTCTGCTTTTTATTCATAACAGCTGACAAAAATCAGGGAGCAACAAGGACATTTATTTTTCAGATGTAGAGACTACTGGGAGCTTAGCAGTAATATTAGAGACTATTTTAAATGTCAAAGTAGGTAAAACTATTGCGAACATGCTTTTTCTTTTTTTAAAACAAGTGCAGGTCTTTCTTTTGTGCAGAGATACAGAGGGAGATCTGATTAATCTTCCAAAAATGTCAACATAGCAGTCAAAACTGAAAGGGCGAGCACGCATTTCAAAACTACTAATAATACAGATGTGATTGTTTCCTGTTTCTGTACAGGAGATATCAGCATGTCGTCAGCAAAAAAACTGAAACCTTTTTTTAAACTTATCATCCCCCATCGTGTCCAAGTATCTAAATCTAAAATCCAAACTATCCTGCTATCACTGCTGATAAACAAAAATTAACATTACTGGGGTTTTTTTTTTAAAACTGAATTTTCAAACTAATGCATCCATTTTACTCAAACCACTCAGCTGCATTTGCCTTTCTTGTCTTTGTGCCATTGTAGTCACCATCAAACAAAACATATCACAGACTGCTGGCAGGGGAGCACAATGTGTGTATTTGTAAATGTTACCATCAAAAGAACTTTGTTCAAAGTGAGAATTATCCACATATGAGGCAACGATCGGTTTCTGCACCCACTGTTTTTCTAAAACTGGTACAAAGCAACTTGACAAACAGCACTACACTAAACAATGTAGTCTCTGTACCCAAAATCGTTTAACTGATGGATGTGTCAGGGTGCACCGAAGCTAATATCTCTGCTTGTTTTACGCCCCACGTAGGTCCAAAAACTGGGACTGACCTGTCGAAGGAGTGGAACTGCATGGGCAGCATGGGGTGCGTCTTCAAGGCAGGGTCTGGGTGATAGGGAGTTGGCCCAGACTCCTGTCCCAAGTCCCCTCCATCAACGGGAGCTGCCACCAGGCTCTTCAGGATTTCCTGCATTCCCGAGAGCAGCGAACGAGAGACAGAACACGATACTTATGAGGCGTATCACTAAATTTTGCTTTGAATGGTGGTTTTATTTTGTTCTTTTATCTAACATGGAAAAGTGAGTATGTTCTAATCACACATAAGCTCACTGAAAGGAGCATCTAAGCTCAGGTAATCAACCAGCTACAAATACAGGCGATAAAAGTAATAGAAAATTCACGTGACCTCTACAGTATAGGGTAAACATAAATGGATACATACATTTGGACTGCATTAAACCAGATTTCTATTAGTTAAAATAAAACACAGTGATTTTCAAATATTTAAAGAAACTACAACTGAGAGATCTAAAGATATGTGCTGACTATTGTTTTCTCAGAATTAGGCTCATGTGGATGCTGGAATCACACGCCCACCTTGACATTGATGCCTTTGTTTGTTTGACTGATGCTGGAGATGGACGAAGGCGGGGCTTGACTAGCGTTGGGGGTGGAGCCGGGGTTATGGGGAGAATCCAAAAGGCTCTCCTGTGACCTTCTAACATCAGATGACAGACTGCATAACAGATCTGTGCCTCCTCCCCCACTTCCTCCTCCGATGTCTCTGTCTCTATCTCTATCTTTATCCGTCTCTCTCCCCACCAGGCCCAGCCCGAGTCCAAGACCCATCTCCGAACCGTTTAGCGATCCGCTCACATGGCCCTCTTCTCCAATGCCCGAGTCTGTGTGTGGAAGGCCGGCACGAGGGGAGTCATCCACAGGGGTGGGGGTCTGTTTGTCGCGGTCGGGGAAGGCTGTGGATGGATGTTCTGGAGAAATTTGGAAGAAATTTTTTTTTTATGGATAAACACTGATACAATTAAAGAAGTATATTTTCTCAGTGCAGATTGGATTATCAAGAAATTCCACAACATACTGACCTTTGATGTTCAACTGAAAAAAAAGACTAATGCTTTAAAGCATTTTTTCAAGTAACACCCTTATTTTCTCTTTTTTTTATTTTATTGGTGTCATATTGATTCTTCTTATCAGTATCATTGTTTGGTCAAACAATGCAAACATCCAAAATCATGCTTGCATGTGGAGGATGATGGAGCAAAAGAAAAACAAAGGTCACCTGTACTGGTTGGAGAGTTAATCTCGTGGCGGATGCTTCTCCCGGATAAGCTGGTAGATCTGCCAATCTCTCGCTGGGGTTCCAAAATGTCCCGGTACTTCGAAACCATGAGAACTGAGATAAAGTAAACAACTGCCAGCGCCAGAAACTGAGCCTGCTTACTGTCATCCTGCAGCAAAACAACACACGCACACAAAGTTATTCAGCAGAGAAACGCTCAGGCATCTTCTTTTTTTTTTTTTTTGCTCCCTGTATCTATAACCAGACGAATACTGTATATACCAAAAATACACCCGCACGCTTACCACATCTCTGAAAACCACAGCTCGGAGACGATTAATGTCTACATCCTGGAGAAGTCTGTCTGGATCCTGCTAAATATGGAAGACAGGATATCAAAAGGTGGCGTGTCATACATATGCATGTTTCTGTAACAGTTTTAGGTGTTGCTGAATGCGTCCTCGATTCATGCGTGTGCTACCTTGCTGGCGGTGGAGGCACTGTGGAGGCTGTCCTGTGACTTGCTGCTGGTTAAGGAGGACTTGCAACTCCGATCTCTCTGTCTCTGCCTGCACTCCAGGCAGTTCCTAACCGCCACACAACATACTGAACGAGACAGAGAGGTAGAGGAAAAAAACAGGTAAGTATAGTGTAATGGAGTCGGCTTTTACATTTCAAGAAAAAACAAACAGGGGATGTCCTGAAGTCATGCATGTCATGACTGCAGCGTGTATAAGCATTTATTTAAAGCACACATACATGCACCCATACATTACAAACAAAGAACGATTTTTATTTTGTGATGTGATCATTTCTCTGCCCTACATCAGAAATGACATTACAATATGGTGTAGCAGAAATGTAAGGTCATCCTAGAAATACTCCACTTACAATAATCTAAGAAATTAAGTAAACTGATGTGCTCTGCCAGCAATCAAATATTTCTGTGAGAAAAACCACTTGATTATAAAACACTGAACAAGTCAATAATCAGCTAATTAACCAATCACTGGAGCTCTCAAACTGAGGAACTGCCTTCCATCTTTCCTCCTTAGAAAGGTACAGCGACAGAAAGACTCAGAGATTAAATATAAGTAATCTGGATCCACTGGAAGCACCCTGTGATGAACCTCCTACTGAGGCGGTCGTGGCCTGCTTTCACCGGCTAAAGCAGCTCACCTGGGTTTTCCACTCAAGTTCATGTTTGTTTTCTCTCTAATGAATGTTTTATTTACATAAACCTCTTGCATGGATTCCTTTTTAGTCAGCTTGAGCCAGCTTGTAAAAAATGGGGGTCATCTGGGATTGAGACCTGGGATTTGTCACAAGCTGCTAAATGATAAAAAGGTGGTCCACAACAGAGACAGCCAATTATTAGCAAGAGTTAGCCAGGACTGCCTCCAACATGGTGTAAAGGGAATCAACAATTATTTTGGAATGAAAGCTTGTTGCGGTTATTTTGCCAATTAGCAAAAAATGAATTTGTTTTTTTATTTTCAAATCTCCAGTGGTTGTCCCTCTCTTTCTCTAAGCTCTCTACCCAAGGTGCCTCCAATTCCCCAAAACCTGAATTGGCTAAGCAGATAAAAATGGATGGACTTATCTACAGTATATCTGTATAATTTAAAAATACTTATTCCAATAGCGATAAACAAAAAAGCATTTTAAACCTCAGGGAAATAAAAACTGGCATATTTTCATATGTTTAACTTTAAAACTACACATTTAATTTGAAAACTGTTCAGTAATCTTAATGCTGACATAAGTAACTTTCAGTTCCAGTCATATGCAACAAGGCCATGAAGCAGTTTGTTTTTTTGCACGAGCCTTCAGAAGCTGATAGTTGCCAAAACACAACAGCTGCCTTATAATTTAGCTTGACCTGGTCACCCATGCTCCTCCTGCGGCCCTCGTAGTTGAGAACTGCTGGTCTCGACTAAGAATCAGCTCATCTAAACATTTTATAAACACTGAAGAGATTCAACTCGGACGCACCGAGGCGGAGGCACTGCCTCATCAGTCCTCCTGACGACATGTTCTTCTCCGCTTCAATCTCACTGAAGTTGAGGGAGCTGGCAAACACCAGCACGTCCACCATGGCCATGAGACGAGAGAGGAAAGTGACGGCCGTCTCTGAAGACATCCCCTGCGTCGCCTCGATGTTCTCCAACTCCGTCTGCGAAAGAGGGAAAACACAACACGTGCTCGCCAGTTATTCAGTGAAAAACTGGCACTTAAACACAACGCACTGGATGCTCTCAGAAGTTAGGAGGGATGAAGAAATCCTGAGTTATCTTATTATTTTAACAAACAACAGAAAAAACCTATGCAGTCGCGCCTTGCAATGAGCAGGACCAAAACGGTCACGGCTGGCTGTTGCACAACAAACACGGAAGGCAACCTTGAGTGTCATGCTGGTTTAGTGAAAAACATACTTATAATGATGACGTTTGGCAACATGAGGTGTTCTACAAAACACAAAGTACAGCCTGGTGACACACATATCATGGTGACAGTGGGGTTGTGGCAAAGACAGTGTGGGTTTTTAGCATTAACAGCAGTAGTGTGGACACACTTGGGCTAGCCTTGAATATCTTATGGGCCCCTTGATTTATCAAACTTTGGTGCGACTACATTGAAAATCTGAAGGCAGCATTGCAGGGGTCAAAACCAAGCGGTGTAGTTTTCTGTGTCTCTGCTTCAGTAAGCAGGACGTGCAGGGCTGTGGAGAGCTGACAGCGCAAGCATCTGGTGGCTCATCAGAGCAAGTGAGCACAGACATTTTGGGGGATAACAGACACACAAGGTGAAGACAGAAGGGCTTGGGTTGGTGCTCTTAGCTCTTCTGGTGATGATGAGAGTCTCAAGCTCTTTACGCACCTCTCCCCCTGCGCCTCCTCCCCCAGGAACAGGGGTCACCTCCTCTCCCTTTGACCCCCTCTGGGGTCCGGCTCCTCCTGCCTTCTTTAGCGTTGATACAAATGGGACAGGCTTAGCAGATGAAACCCCCAAGGACGTTTGGAAATACTCTCTCTCGTAAAATATATAAGCAGACTATATACCCCCCAAATAATCTTCTCCCTTTTGTTTCTTATTGATCCATGCTGTGGCTTTTTAGGCTTTTTCACCCCCTATATATTCACATAGTATTCTAACTGGGTTGACATACTTAATCTTTATGAACAGAGACTAAGAAATCAATAGATTTAGACAATATAAGGTAAGCAGCAGAGGAGCACAACACGCAGAAACACTATGGATGTCAGACAAGCAAGGGTTAGTGTCAGTCACAATGGTTAATAAACCAGAGCTAAGTATTAGTAGAATAGAAAAAGAGGAAGAAACTGCAAACTTACAGTGTTGGCACTACTCTTAGAATTCTGCACATGCAAAACAGACAAAAACAGAGAGAAAAAAAGACAAGAAAATACACAAAACACATGTAACACAGAGAGGAAAAGAAAGGTTAAAATGCAAAAACGCTTAAAACAATAGGCTATCAAGCTAACGAAAACGGTTAATTGAAGGGATTAGAACTAAATATTGTTAAGAAGGGTTAGGTTGACAGTTGCACATACTGGTTTAATTGGGAGTTAAATTCGTTTACAAGTCTTTTTTTTATTTTATTTTGTCTACTGTGATTTTCTAGATTAATTCAGGGAAATAGCCCTATCAAGGCACACAAGATCTGTGCTGCAAGGGGAACTAAAAAAACCACACACACATACAAAAAAAAAAAAAAAAAAGTCTGTGTGGGCTTTAACGCTCCAGTAACAGGCCTGTGAAAGAGCTGTCGACCTGCAGTTTTCCCTCCTACCACAGAGGGGTGCAGAAGAGCCACTTACGGAAGGGGAGGTGGCAGCAGACAGGAGAGGCAGAATGCCTCCACAGGCAATGATGATGTTGTCCACCATCTGAGAAATGAGGTGGATCGTGTTGTGGACGAAGATGATGTTTTCATTGCTGTTCACAAAGTCCATCACCGACTTCGTGGAGTGGCTGGAAGAGAATAAAATGCAAACCGTTTGAAAGTAAGACATAGTTTCTAACAGGAAAACACAATATAGCTGTCACATGAATCAGATCTTTAGCATAATCAGTTTATTTAAAACGAGGCGTAAAATGACTAAAAATGGTCAACTAACACACACCTGGCGAACACAGCATCGAACTCACCTCCTCCACACATGCACATCTGTCTCCAGGGCAAACAGCAGGTCAGTGAGCAACCTCTGGTGCATTGGAGACCATTTGAATTCTGGGATTCGGAACATGGTCGTACGCGGGCCTGGGCTGAACTGACGCCGCTGCTCCTCCGTCATGGGCATACCCCTGAAACCCAAATCAACGCGTAGGTCCCTCTCCAACTGGGCTGCAGTGCGACCGTGGAGGGCCTGTAACAGTTGTTGAATAAGCAAGTGAAGCTCATTTGGTCTAATATAAGACTTGGCATACACGCATCGATGAAATTCAATTTCATTTAAGGTGTCAAAACCACAGGAAAAAAGCCCCCCAAAAAACACAGAAGACTCTCATTGTGCATTCACTGATCGGTTGCTGAAACTTAGCTCGTGTGTGGGCAGCTTCTCAGCTTTTTGGCCGGGAAAACAGGACTGCTGCTGAACTGTTTATTTTAATCACAACACAAATCACATTGGACAGGGTAGAGAGGCAGGCTTGTGACCAGTGGCTCACTTGTTCAGTCCTTAAACTGAGAGGATAAATCTCAGTGGGGGAGGTGAAAAAGCACTTTCCCCAGCTTTCTGTGATTTTATTACCCAAAATTCCAACAAGCAAGGGTAACATAATGAGGCACTGCAGCCACTTGAAAGTCATGAGGTATTAGATGAAAGACAATAGGTATTAATGTGATTTATAAGGATGATTACACACTTTTTTTCTATTTTTATTTTAATGCATTCACATTATAATTTTTTTTAACATTTTGATAAATGCAGCGAAGGAAATAAAAAAAATCACTCATATGTGCAGGATAACACCTCATGGCAGAGTTACTTAGTTTATTTGCTGACCAGTGTGTACACAACATGTGAGGAGCTCCCTCTTAACCAGCTGAACACACTTAAACACACCTGAGTGGTTGCAGTAGTTTGGATCTTCTTTGTGTCCTTGTCTTTCCCATCATCTGACCTCTCTGTGTCAGAGGTGGTGCTGGCTGTATCTCCTCCAGTCTTAAGCCCTGCAGTCTCTCCGTCTGCACCGTCTGTGCCCTCTCCCTCTGGGAAATCTGGTCTAGAGGTTCCCTGGGTCTGGCTCTCAGCCTCAGCAATTGAGCTGATGTCAGCAAGAGGGCTTTGGATTTTGAAGGGCCCATCCTCTGGAAGTTCCCCGGTAGTGTGGCTTTGGGTTTGTGTTAAATCAGAGCCGCAGCTGGTCATGTGGGCCAGCAGGCTGAGGTCATCACTAGCGCTGGTGGTGGAGTGAGCTGGGGCTGGGCCGGATGGAGTGGGCTGATCTGGACTGGGCAGTACAAGGGGGTCTGTGGCTGCCAAAGCTGGAAGCAACTTCTCATCAACCTGGAAGGAATGAATGGGGAAAAATGGGAAAACAGTACAGCTTCAGGTTTGAGGAAAACTTAGAAACATTATTTGGGAGAGTAAAAAGGACTAAGAAGGATTAGGCAGCACAGTAATACTAATCCTACCTTACTGAAGAGAAATCCGTTGTTGCTCGGGACACTGTCTTTCTCATCCGCCAATGTGATGAGGGGACCCATGTTCCCATCATCATCCAGGCTGACTCCTGAAAGCCCGAGGTTTGTCCCCATTCCAACCCCCGAACCAGATGTGTCATCTTTAGGCGCCAGATTCCCATTTAGGTTCTGAACCACACTGCAATAAGCACTGTCCAAGAGAGAATCTACCTCAACCAGAGGTCCATTTTCCATTCCTCCCCCACCTCCTCCACCTACACTTCCACCAAGACCTTCAGGAGAGAGGTCCAGGTCATCCAGCTTTACTTCCGTGGCTTCTACTTTCTCTGCTTTAATGTCTACCAGAAGGTCATGGACCTCCACTCTCACGCCTGGACCTGCACTTTGCTCCCCAGGTGTAAGTGCTTCTCCGTTAGGTCTCTTCACCGCGCCTTCTGCGAGGAGGTTGCGTGAGTCTGCGCCGGCCCCCTCGCTGTACTCCGCCTCACTCTCAGGTGTCTGCGTCTGGGAGTTGTCATCGATCTCCAAGTTGCCATTGACGACAGGCGCAGGTGTGGCAGAGAGGCCGGAGATGGTGGAAACTGAGCCTTTCTTTCCCTTCTTCATGTTTTCCTCCTCCTGTCGCTGGTACTCCTCATACATCTTCGCCAAATACTCCTTATGGGCTTCATAGGTCACCTGTGACAGATGGTAGATTATAACTGGTAATGTTATCGGCACACAAGCACTAACAAAAGTGAATCTTCACATCAATAGCCACACGGTAGTCCAAAGGAGACTCATAGATCATTTACACCAAAGTGCAGAAAACTGGGACACTAGCCTTCCGGGGCCATTAGACCATTACCCATAATGCCCCTTCACTTTTACCCCGAGATGAGAAAAAAGGGCGAGTTAAAGTTCTGTCACTGAACAGTGAAAAGAGAGGTGATCAGTTTCTGAAAGTGTCTCAATGCTGGGTCATTCTGGCCCTGGAAGATGTTGAAACAACACATAACAGTGGTCAAATTGCACAAATCACCAGGTTTCTGTACAGCTTATAAGCAGCTTGAATCAGAATATCAGCACCTGGAAAATCCCCATTAATATCTGCTCATTTGTAGCCAAACAGCAGACAAGAAAGTCAAGCTCAACCAGCAGTGCTGCACAACAGCTGTCATCAGTGGCAGCCCACATGAGCTTAAGCCCTATCTAAGGCTCCTATTGGACAATCTCCCATTAGCTCGCTTGCAGTTGTTACCAATCTGCAAGCCACTTTGCACTCCCCTCTACTACAGCTCCTCCTTTTTATTTGCCATTTCTGATTTTTACTAATGTCACGTTTGCTTTTATTGACACCTTCACTGCTCTTGCTCGGTCTTATTGCCAATCTCGCCATCTTTGGCATTCATGTATGTACATGGAAGGCTTTGGAAGTCCCAGGACAGAGACATACCACCAAATCTAAAATACAGCAGAAATAACATAATCGAAATAACAAGCTATACTTGTACTAAACGAAATAAGACTACTGGGAACTGTTATTGAATTGTGCATTTCCCACTCTTACCTTGGAGTGTGCTATTGAAAGGGTGTCCACCCAGACCCTCCATCCTCCCCATTCGTATTTGATGGCATGGTAGAGAAGGATCCTAAATATGTTGTACACCATCTCGGTTATTTTCTGCTCTTCTGGGTTCTTGGGGTTGATGTATCCGAGGGAGAACATCCAGTCCTGCCACACGGAGCACTGCAGCAAGCAGCTGGTGCACAAAACAGGCAGCATGTGAGATGAGCTGTAGCATGAGTTTGATTTCAAAATAAAAGCCACAGTGAGGAGCTAATGAACACGGCTGGATAAGTGCAGGTACAGTGATTTGTGTGCTTTTTACCGGCGATTCTCGCGGCTGTTACTGAAGAGTTTTATCATGTCAGAAAGAAAAAGTCTCCTGACTTCCATCAGCTCCACACTGGGACTGGAGTTCTTCAGCAAGGTGGCCACCACTTTCAGAATCACTGGGTGTGAGGTAAAAAGAAAACCAAGTAAAGGGAAGAGAAGAACAAGATGAGAGAGAAGGAGAAGCAAATACTTTTAAAGCATTTGGAATGAGATCAAGAAGTGGAAGATGGCAGCAGTGTCAGCTTCTCAATTTACGCTTTGTTGTTTGTTTACTCGCATTAAGAAAAGGCAAAACAAACAAAACACTCCATTACTGGCAGACCAAAGACCGCAGAGAGACACAGATGCGAGGTGAAGTGCTTATGCACTTACTGGGATTCTGGATCTTGACAGTGGAGTCGGGGTCTGGGTGTGGTTTGTGAACAACCTGAGTGCAGACCTGCTCAGTCAGAATCTGCACGGTTAGAAGATTGACAGTAGTCATTAAATTATAAACACACAGATCCCAACAACTCAGATCCGATGGCTTGATCCATTGTAATATTTACTGACATTCACCTACCTCGTACAGAGTATTGTAGGTGGTGATAGAGACGGTGTTGGTGTGCATCATCAGCCTCTCTCCCAGCAGCGTGAATAGGCTGTGTGTGTGCATGATCTCAACCTTTCTCCTGCAGGGAAACAAACACACACATTTGTAAAGGCTTTATGACAGTTGAAACTGACACTGATTGTCACTGACCGGGTGACGGTCTGATATTGGCAGGTGGCACCATGTGGCCCTGTCAGCGATGATGGGACCAGAGAGGATACGAATTGAATACCAACAAGAGAAATTAACAAGAGGCATTAACAATACGACGACACCATAGGAGGCAGCGGGGCAATGCTCATATGGCTGTGAATGATTAACTTTTATTAGTTACCTTGCCGGTGGGTAAAAATTGTGCTTATAAGAGGGTTTAAACTTGAGAGGCTCAGGAATCAGGGATGAATAACTTCTGAGTATTTTACAATTGAATTAAATGAATAATGCTTGAAGCGCCTTCATATTCCTGACCAAAGCCTTTGGAGGATTTAATCACACGCGCATATACAGTCAAAATAATGAGTCACTTTAGCTACTATTGTGCCGTTTTAAATGATATTTTCCAAAAACATACTCTCATTTAGAGAAATTGGTTTTGACATCAGCTCAAACTTCCAACTTTGTTTAAAAAAATGGAATAAACTCGAGGCAAAATGGCTTATAAATAAAAGCATCGTCTATATACCTGGCTGTCATAATAAGGCAAGTCTATAGATTCAGTGTAACCGTACTCAAGAAGCTGTTACCGAGTCTGGCAGGCTATTGTAGAGGATGGCAGTGAAGACGACTACGACAGGTATTAAACTACCGTGCTGTTGAAAAGTCTTGAGCTACTCCTCATTTCTTTATATTTTGCAGGGAAAATGGAAAAAAGATCCAGCGATTTACTGAAACGTGCAAACACACATGGAAATACACTGTTTGTACAATTCTGAGCCAAAATTTGTTGTAATTTCTTTAAGTAGTCTTCAGGAATAGAATAATTCTTGAAGCACATTTGAAACTCTTCTGTGGATGTTTGCTGCCTTTTATTCTGTTCTCTCCCACGATGATCCCACACTTCAGTAATGTTGAGGTCCGCGCTCTGGGGAGACCAATCCATGACTAACAGTCTCCCATCCAGACATGCTTTCACTGCACTGACAGTGTATGGGACCACTGTCATTCTGGCAATTAAGGCTGCTTTCCAGGCGGCATTGCATGGTGGATCAAAATCTGGCGCGTTTCTGCATTTGTGCCACTGATTTTTAGTCCATTTCTTATGTAATTTGGCACAATTCACTCTTTTTTTTCCCGTTTCCTCAAGTATGGCTTCTTGACAGCCACCCTTCCACAGAGACCATTTCTGATGAGGTTTCAGGGAACAGTAGATGGATCAACTAGCTAGAGCTAGATCTACCAAGTCTTGTGTCAGTTTATTGCTGGATTTTCTCCTATTCCTTGACATGACTTTCAGATACTGCTGCAGATAGCTCAGCTGAACATGGTCAGGTACAAGGACTGGACTGAAAATGGCTGAAAAAGCAGCCAATGTCCAAAAGAACTTGGTAAACTTGAAAAGCCTGGAGAACTCAAGACCACTTTAAGGACTTGAGGGATGGCTCAAGACCTGCGCACAGTTCTGCATTATGCCGCATGATTAAAGTAGGCCATCTGCCTTTTAGGAGTAGCTGCACTTTGAGTTGACTGACAGCTGGAAAAAACCTTCCCAAGAAACACAGCAGCAGACGTGTATTTATTTAAATATAAAGTCGACAGCTACCTAGATCGCTCTTACAGTGGACATCGCATGAACTTTAAAGATTTTGCTCTGGCTACATCAGACATTTATATTCTAACATGCAGTTCTGCTGGGAAATGTCTAGATAAGTTCAGGGTAAGATAATCTTTAATTCAAAATGTCACTGGCTTTTAAGACGTTATCATAGCAGAACCCTGATTTTTTTATTGTGCTTTCTTTTTTTAATATGAGAAATCAGATTATCAGTAAATCTAATACCACCTGACAATGTTCAGTATATTTAAGAATATTTGAAGATTATTAGGAAAAGCACTTTTTACTTTACTGTAACGTATGCATGATTGGCTTTACTATTTAATTTAAGACTGATGTACTGATTAGGATCGATATTAAATTTCCATATGCAGTGAAATGACATGTAGACTGAAAGGGGCAGCCCTACGGGATGTTTGGCTAAAGCAGATGTTAAGTAGGTGGGGGGCTGACGGTGCAGGGCTCAGGTGCATTATGGCAGCCTGCTCTCATGTCAGGCAGCGAGAGGCGCGGCTGTCACATGGGATGAATAAATCCCCCAGCATTCACTGCTGCTCATCAAGGTTCCACCTCCCTGCCAGTGCACACTGTCAAAAGGATTATTCCGCCTGGACATGATGACGAGGGCATTATCTTGGTGTACACACAAACAAACAGTCTTTCTAAGGTTCAGTGGAGACTGCACTGTTGCAGCTTTACTGCAGTGTCTTTCCACACACTCAAACCTACACTATGCGTGGCACATCTCCATCTCCCTCCACTGATGCAGCATTTTGGGGGGGGGTTTAGTAGTAAAAGATAAAAGGATTATAGGAAAATATCAAGTACTCCCTCACTTCAGTGCTGCAGAAAACCACACAAAGGAAATATACCAGGAAAGCTCAGCAAGCAGTACTGACTTGTGACCAAGGTGCTTGAGGAAGTAGCCCAGAACTTTGAGTGCCTGGACCCGGATACTCTCACTCTTAGAGGCCAGGAGCTTGCAGATTACCCTGTAACATGTGAGACAGAGTCACAGGTCAGAGAGACAGTTATAACATCTTTCTTTACTACAATAGCAAACATCAAGCAAACAAAAAAACAAGAGCAAAATTAGGGGTTCTTCACTGTGTAGTAAACACCTGCTGCCTGAAACTCAGCAAACATTCTTAAGAGTCACAGTTTGCAACACGAGCGCTGACTGAAACATTTTCTTCAAAGAAGCGTGCACACAGTACATCAAAAAAAAAAAAAAAAGAGGAACAAGCCACAGTTTGCAACTAGCTCTCTAGCAACAGAAGAATTACCATAGCAACCAAAAAGACATCCATGTGTCGTCGTGCTTTGGGGGAATTACAAGCACAGCAAGGGTACGTCTTTGAAAAAGGCTGCGTAGTTCGAGCTACTCGAGAAACATAATGTGAAACTACAGGAATTTTATCTGAATTAAACAATTAAACTAATACTATTGAGTAAATTTTAAATCTATGTCTAAATCTTTCACTGGTTTTAGAAAGGGGCTTCATACCAAAAACCAACACATTCTCCACACCCCCTTTCTATTACTGTAAAGCAGCCCACTGTGAAAACATTCACATTTTATGGATGATGAACAGAACAGACTGACACAAGGGTAATTACTAGAGTGGTGCTGATATATCAGTATCAGGATTTATAACATCCAATAAATGAAACTTTAAAAAGTAAAGAGATGGGAGAAACACCCTTCAACCACGAATACTGACATTGCACAGTTTGTCCACCAGAGGGCACAGGCGTTTGCAACACCACAAATAAAACCAGCTAGGCAGTCAGGCAGAGCATAAGTAATATTTGGCTTTTGAATATCTACACATATCAAATTTTAGGAAAAAAAAACTGGCCAATATGTCAGATATATAAATGACCAAATATTGATCTTAAAAATCCTATATCAGTCGGGCTCATCCCATCTCAGTTTTCCCACATTCAATTAGTCTGCTGTTACAAAGGATCTCTTCTTATGAATCAAAGAAACACATCCGCCCACCTACCACCTTAATGCAATGCCTTTGTTAGTAAGAAGGCCCCAATGATGATTCTGACCTCTGGCTCGATGAATTTAACCTTTCGGACAACAGGTCCTTTTCTTTCTGAACAATTTGCAACGCAATTCTTACTGGTACAGAAGTGAAAAGTCAAACATCGATGGCCTAATTTCCTGCAATCTTCACACTTCAGCAGGTCACATTCGAACTTTTGTTGGTGTATGCCTTGATTTGACCGACCTGCTCTTAAACATTTATTTCTGGCTGCTCCCTTGTCACAAGGGGTCGCCACAGTGGGTGGGCCAGCGTGTTTGACTTTTAAACCAGGTGCCCTTCCTGACACAACTCCAAAAACGACTTGTTTCTCCAGCAATCTTTGGTTTGCCAAGCAAATGTGTAATTCACTACACTATGGAGACACTTGTTAAATATCCTACTACAATATACTAAATCTCTATTTGTTTCTTTGTCCCCAAACTCCTCCTATACCACCAGGAGCTGAGCAACCAAACTTGGCACATAGGTAAATCTTAGACCCCCGAAGGTTCTTATCTACATCAGATCATATAACATCATCATGTTGCCTTCTAGCCACCTGCCAACAGGTTAAAATGGTCAGCTTTTAGCGTTTATACACCTACATCACCCTTTAAAAGCATTGTACAATTTTTATTTTATGACACTAACCTTTAACTCGTCTACAAAAGTTAAATTATGCATGTTGAAATTATGACGCTATCATGCTGCCTGGCAACCAAGTAGCAATTTGTTAAACTGCCATATTTTCAACCTTTATGCACCTATAAAACCTTATGAAAGCATCCTGTCGTTTTAATTTCAAACAATAAATTGCCAAGAAAGAAACTAAAATGATTTTTAATGTATAAACCACATCTACCATTCCTATTCTTTTAAAAGTTTGCCAAGGAGGCAAATAGTAATAATAATAAGAAACACAACACCTATGACGCAGCAGTTTGGGGATTTATGAAAGATATTACACTTTTCTGAATGAACACTATCTACTTCAATTAAATTATTCATAATAAATCATGGGTTTTCTTATAACAAAATAATATATAATACTAATATAGATATCGACATAGATGCATATGGATGCCTATGTTGACACAAACAGCATAGCTCTAACCATAAACTTATTTTTTCAGGTTCTGGTGTTGTGTAAAACCTTTTTAATATGTATGCAGATGTGTGAGCAGCATTCACCTTATGCCGTTTCTCTGGTCAAATGCGGGGATCATGGACGCCGGGTGTTCAGACATAAGGGCCACTAACAGCTGGAGCACGTCGTGAATATTCTCATCCTGCAAAGAAAGGAAAGATGAAGCAGGTGAGATGGAGAAAGCCCTGTGGGACAGACGGACACAGGGTTAAGAGGACAAAGAGAGTTGTAAGGGTGGACGCGGAGGGGGTGGATTACAGAATGGCAGGTGGTATTTCAGAGCAAGAATAGATATAATTGTTACAGAAGAGAACATTCTGTTCAGTTCATTGTTGCTCCATTTTTCATACGGTCACAGCACTGAAGCTGACTCACACTCACTCGTTTAAGTGGACCATAACTTCAGCCCACAAATTATAATGCACATTTTGCCACCAGCTCCACTCAACCGCTCTCACAGTCTCTCCGTTTCCCTCTTTTGCCCTCTCTCAGTGTCTATTTTAATACAGAATTTAGCATTTACCTCATGCATGGTCAGTAGATAGTTGAGAATGCTCTGCAGCTCGTCCTCCTTCACGCCCCGGTCCTGTGAAAACCAGACATTCAGTTAAACATTCGTGATCTCCTGTTGTTTTTTACCTCTTATTAACTACACACCGCTTCATTAATTCTGTTTCTGGCTGCATTTTTACCATGAAGCAGTAACAACCTCCTTACACACACACGCGCGCGCGCGCGCAAATGCAGGAACAAATCAATATCAGAGCGCACAAACACAAAAGCTACAGTGTTTTATTCACGCTGCAAATCTATAATGCAATTCTCCACACACACATTTTAGATTAAGCCAACAGTCCCCAGGAGAAAAAACAACAGAGGACATAATAGGAAAAGAAAGCTAAAAAAGAAGCGATTTCTTGGATCTTATGCGATGAAGATCACGGTAAATCGGTTTCTCTCATTTTACCTTGAGTATGAGTTGTTTGAGGAAGAGGAGCATGAAGGCTCTGAGTGAGATGATCTCCTTTTGGGACGGTCGTGGTCCATCTAGACAAAGACGCGCAAACACAAAATTAATTTCCTGTTAAAAATACATTTTTACACTCGATAATGATCGGCTAAATAAGCCCACCACTGAGCCTTGGTGTTTACTGATATTGGATTTTATTAGGCTTCCTGGAGAGCAGAGAAAAACACGTTAACACAAACACGCTCGCACACACTCACTCTGCTATATGACTGTAAATAACTGTCATTAACTCTAGTGGCAATTTGGATATTTTATGATTGTACTAATCTAACGTATTACAGCAAAGACGCAGTAATTCACAAAAATGTGATCCAAACCAAACAACCGCTGTAATCCACTGTATATACTTTACAGCTTTGGTACTGGATGAGTTGTTTGCTGTGGTGGTTTACACACAGATAATCGAGCTAAAAAAAACACAACAGTATTTTCCGTGTAAGTTTACTTTCACAGAAGGCAAAGAGCATGCCCTTATAAAAGGTCTTCATCCGATGCTTTGAAATACTCTGGTTTTAACTCAAGTGATGTTAACCAAGAAGAAGTCATGTGCAAAGCAAAACATTGAATTATTCTTTTAAGATGTATCTGTCCCACTGCGCAAGTGTCCAGTGAAGGGGGGCATGGCTACGCGGAGGCTGGAAGGGGAAGTAGAAGTTTTTGGAGGGTCGGTTTCTTCTTGTGTGGAGGAACGAAAGAAGGCAACCATTAAAGTTGGAGTTAACATACCAGTTGTGTGATTATTGGACTAACAATTCCACCACCTGAAAACACACCACAAACTGCAGTGTGATAAATGCATGAAGACCAAGAAAAACAGTGCAGTGCTTTGTAACGTGAACTGTCCATCGCGAACTCAAACGTCCGTAAAAACGAGCCTGTACAGTGCATCTGCAAATCCACCGAGCACACAAAGAAGCCCTTAAATAACCAACACATTCCCCTTCCATTAGGCCAAAAATGTGCACCCATTAAACACAGTGAGTAATGAAGGCTTCAGGAAAATGGTCAACATACTTGTCAAAAGACATGTTCTCCCCTTGAGCAATTATTTTTCCAATGTGGCAAAATCTGCACTGTATGCAGGAGGGAAAAGAGCTGTCGACTACTCTGCTACGAGTTTTAGTCACATCCATCACGCTGGTACGATGAATGAAGTGAAAGCGTTTCTATTATTTATCTGCATAGTTTAATTTATGAAGATTAACTTAATGTAGAACTATGTAAAGATGAAAGCAGCGCCCTGTTGATTTAATGCTGTGCCATTTTTTTTGTTTTTTTAAACCAAATGATGCAAAAATGATTTAAAATGTATTTTTGAGAGCGGCACAGTGTGTCTCTTGTCCCGCATCCCTCCACTCATCCCCAACCAGTCACGACAGCTGGCCGCCTGTCCCTGACACTGGTTCTGCTGGAGTTTTTCCTTCCCCCTGTTACCGAGTTCTTGCTCATAGGGAGGTCATCTGATTGTTGGGTTTCTCTGTATTATTGTGCTGTCTTTACCTTGAAATATAAAAGCAGGCTGAGGAGACTGTTGTGGTGACTTGGCAGAATATAACTAAAATTGAATTACTAAAGTTCTGTTAAGGTTCAGGAAAAGGTGCATGCTTTCTATAGCAGATACATCTAGAACTGGGCAACTTACACACACACATGCAAAAAGAGCAATAGTGTTTGTTTCTTCTGCGTCAAAGCTTCACAACTCTATCACTTTTAAAATGATTAAGACAAAAAAACTGACAACTCAGATGATGGCATTAAATTTTAATTGATGTAACTGTATTTCATTCTTTTTTTTAAGTGTTTAATGTGCACGTCAGATACAGTTGAATTTATAGCTGTGATGAATCGGCTCAAAACAGCTGCCAAATAACTAGCTAATGGAAAGCGGTGCCAGGAAGCCTAAAAATGCATTGATTTAGATCAAAACAAGAATGATATAAGACCCACCCTTCAAAAACAAGGACATTTATCCTCTGAATCCCACTGCAGTCAGATAAAGTTCCCTTCTTCCTTTCCTACTTTTTTTTTTTTACTTATTCTCCATTTTCCTCAACTACTCTATTTTTTGTATCGATGCCTTTAGCAACCAAGCACCCACAATGCAACCCAATAAACCTCAAATGCTACGTGTCCTCATCACTCCCGACAGAATTGTTCTGTTTATTAGAACCAGTAAACATTTATGATGTCCAGTTTGTGTGTATTTGTCATTTCACACGTTGCTGTGTCAGGGTGTTTGAAACTATCCCTTATTATGTATTCCTCAAAGGAAGAGAAATACAATCGCAAACAGTGTTTATTGTAAACGGAATAAAATGCACCACGTCCTCTCAGAAACAAGACTTGACCCACTGTTGCTTAGCCAGCAGAAGTAGGCTCACGAGAAACATAAAAGGCCGAGGGTGTGAAAGGAAGACGATGTGAAGCCTGTCCCTCCATTTCTTTGTCACGCTCTGCTGCCCTTCAATCACGCGAGTGTGTACGTGTTTCAGTCTGTTCTCCTGCTCTTCACGGAGCCAAAACATGACACCCAAGCAATCCACTGCGATCCATCATCCTTATCTGTCAAGCTGGTGCGTGTAGCCTGAACGGTGACACTGACCATCCATCATGTTTACCCAGCCACTCTGCATTAAATGACCAGGTGAAAGCGGTGTGAGTGGAACCTCCTTATTTAAAGCTCTTTTGTCATAAGACGCCTTGAATAAAGCTTATATTCTTCTAAACAGCTTTCCTTGGGCAGGTTTAATTACCATCACTTACTCTTTGAAATTAATTTTCGTCTTTGTGTGCTCCTAGTCTGGCTGCACAGTTTTATCTAGTCTAATTTACGATAACAAACGAGTAGTTTTTATTTTAACTGGATAATGGCAAGCTTTCGAGAGATAAAGAGGTTTAAAGTGGTGCGATTTTGTTCTGACTTTGGGCCCTTTGCCACAATTACACACACACAAACACACGCTTCAGATTTGATCTAAAAAGAAAATGAATTTCCTCAAGATTTGCCCATTTTACAACAATTAACACAAAGTACATAGAAAAAGTCACGGAAGTTGGCTGAACGAGGCTTAATACATAAAGAAAAAAGTGTATAGACAGAAAAAAAAAAGATTTGTCATGACTAAGACACTCACTGGCCACTTTATTAGGTATACCTGTCAGCTCATAACAATCTGAAGAATGGCCAGTTTACTTTGAGCTGACAGGAAGACAACAGTAACTCAAATAATCACTCGTCACAACCAAGGTATTATTGCAGAAGAGCATCTCTGACTGCAGATCGACTACAAGCAACAGAAGACCACACTGGGTTAATAGGGACAATTGAGATTAAACAAAAACTTGCCAAAATTGATAATCACCTGATCAATTCCGTTTTAATGACAAAATCAAAATTTAGTGTGAAACATGAACCTGAAAGCACGGCTCCATCCTGCCTTGTATATTCGGTTCAGACTGATGGTGGCACACTTCAGGTCCCTTGGTACCAACTGAGCATGGTTTAAACACCATGACTTGACTGACTATTGTTGCACACCATGTCCTTCAATTTAAGACCACAGTGTACCACCTTCTGACGGATACCACACCATGTCTCAAAGCTCAAATCATATCAAAATGCTTTATGAAACATGACAAGGAGTTCACCGTCATCAAATGGTCTCACCATTCACCAGATCCAGGCGAGCAAATTTGGGATGTGATGGAACAGAAGACTCATCACAACAAATCTGCAGCAACTCTTTGAGGCTATCACGTCAATGCAGAAAGAAAATGTCAGAGGACTTCCAGGACCTCATTGAATCTCTGACATGAAGAATTAAGGCAGCTCTGGAGGGAAAATGAGCTCCAGCCTGGTACTAACAAGTCGTACGTTAAGTGTCCGCTGAGTGTAATTCATTTAGAGCCCCTTCCTTTCTTTTTTTTTAAATTCAGTCTAGACATCTGATTATAGTTAATGCAATTTAAGAGCAAAAGACCCAAGAGGTTTTATTGTGAAGACTACACACTCTTTCCTTGGAACTTCCAACCACCACCTAATTTAGCCATTTGTAAAATACACAGTTAAAGGAATTTGGTATTTTAAGCTCAGTCCAAGTCTGGTGCAAGATAAAAAAGAAAATACTAAAAATACAAAATTGTCCTTCCAACTCGGATTCAAGCCCATTCTTCAGCTAGTTGAATGCATTTTTATCCACAAAGCTCGTGGTATGAGCAACATAACTGTCCATTACTATGCAAATGAGTGCATATCACATTCATACAGTATAGTCAAGTGCATACATTTGCAGGCTTTCAAACCACAACTAGCTGCTTTTAGCTTTGAACTACAGTACGAATGTGTCTGAGGCTAATTGCTGCTATACTGTTATCTGCGCCTTTTTTTTTTATGGGGCTAAATCCCAGCAGGCAAACAGTAATATCGCCAAACAGAAAAGAAGCCAGACAGCCACTTGATTAGAAATTCCAAAAGCTCCCTTGGATCTGCCAATCACATGTCTGTTACCATGGAGACATGGGATGCGTACTCATAGTCAGCGGAGGGTCCCGGGCAAAAGGAGAGGTTGATTAAAGTGTGAGGCTTCCTCCGACCTTTTGCTGCTACAGAGCATGACAACAGCGGCGGTGCTAGCACTGCTAGCTGTTCCCTGCTCTATTACAAAGACAAAGAAAATTGAATATCTGAGTCAGCCCTGTGTTATTTTAAAATAGATACAGTGGGGCAAAAAAGTATTTAGTCAGCCACCGATTGTGCAAGTTCCCCCACCTAAAATGATGACAGAGGTCAGTAATTTGCACCAGAGGTACACTTCAACTGTGAGAGACAGAATGTGGAAAAAAAAATCCATGAATCCACATGGTAGGATTTGTAAAGAATTTATTCGTAAATCAGGGTGGCAAATAAGTATTTGGTCAATAACAAAAATACAACTCAATACTTTGTAACATAACCTTTGTTGGCAATAACAGAGGTCAAACGTTTACTATAGGTCTTTACCAGGTTTGCACACACAGTAGCTGGTATTTTGGCCCATTCCTCCATGCAGATCTTCTCGAGAGCAGTGATGTTTTGGGGCTGTCGCCGAGCAACACGGACTTTCAACTCCCGCCACAGATTTTCTATGGGGTTGAGGTCTGGAGACTGGCTAGGCCACTCCAGGACTTTCAAATGCTTCTTACGGAGCCACTCCTTTGTTGCCCGGGCGGTGTGTTTTGGATCATTGTCATGTTGGAAGACCCAGCCTCGTTTCATCTTCAAAGTTCTCACTGATGGAAGGAGGTTTTGGCTCAAAATCTCACGATACATGGCCCCATTCATTCTGTCCTTAACACGGATCAGTCGTCCTGTCCCCTTGGCAGAAAAACAGCCCCATAGCATGATGTTTCCACCCCCATGCTTCACAGTAGGTATGGTGTTCTTGGGATGCAACTCAGTATTCTTCGTCCTCCAAACACGACGAGTTGAGTTTATACCAAAAAGTTCTACTTTGGTTTCATCTGACCACATGACATTCTCCCAATCCTCTGCTGTATCACCCATGTGCTCTCTGGCAAACTTCAGACGGGCCTGGACATGCACTGGCTTCAGCAGCGGAACACGTCTGGCACTGCGGGATTTGATTTCCTGCCGTCGTAGTGTGTTACTGATGGTGACCTTTGTTACTTTGGTCCCAGCTCTCTGCAGGTCATTCACCAGGTCCCCCCGTGTGGTTCTGGGATCTTTGCTCACCGTTCTCATGATCATTTTGACCCCACGGGATGAGATCTTGCGTGGAGCCCCAGATCGAGGGAGATTATCAGTGGTCTTGTATGTCTTCCATTTTCTGATGATTGCTCCCACAGTTGATTTTTTCACACCAAGCTGCTTGCCTATTGTAGATTCACTCTTCCCAGTCTGGTGCAGGTCTACAATACTTTTCCTGGTGTCCTTCGAAAGCTCTTTGGTCTTGGCCATGGCGGAGTTTGGAGTCTGACTGTTTGAGGCTGTGGACAGGTGTCTTTTATACAGATGATGAGTTCAAACAGGTGCCATTCATACAGGTAACGAGTGGGGGACAGAAAAGCTTCTTACAGAGGACGTTACAGGTCTGTGAGAGCCAGAGATTTTCCTTGTTTGAGGTGACCAAATACTTATTTTCCACCCTAATTTACGAATAAATTCTTTACAAATCCTACCATGAGAATTCATGGATTTTTTTTTCACATTCTGTCTCTCACAGTTGCAGTGTACCTCTGGTGCAAATTACTGACCTCTGTCATCATTTTAAGTGGGGGAATTTGCACAATCGGTGGCTGACTAAATACTTTTTTGCCCCACTGTATGTTTTATAGTGGCTTTATAAAAAAAAAACCATGGACAAATCTTTGAGACCTTTTTCCAAAAAAACTGCATTCACAAGAAGCACAAGGTGTGGGTACATTTAAGGAAATATAAAAGATTTATTTACACAGGTGTCACAGCTATCACCTGTTCTGTTCTTAAGAAATAAAATGCAGCAGTTGGAAAAGAGAACATGCAGTGTCTGCTTCTGAAATGGTCTTATTCACTCTTAAATACACAAAAGAAGCCGCTCAGCCATTCCCATAAACACCAGTGGTTGTTGGGAAAAACTCTGAATGTGTGTGTGTCTGTGTGTGTATACATGTATTACTCATATTGTGGAGGCATAAATCTGTTTCACCCTGTGGAGAACTGCAAAAGAAAGTATTGGTGATCAAAAGAAAGTGCCCACAATGTAGATATCTTAATAAAATTTATATTTTAGTCCAAAGATTTAGGTTGGGTCAAGTTCAGTTTATTTTTAGGGTCACTTGGATGAGTGACGAAACGTTTCTCCCACTGAAAAACTACGTCCAGATGAACAGAATCAACTTTTGGGGATTTACTTACCTGGATGATTGAGCATACATCAAGACAACTGTGTAATATATAGCAGAAATGATCATTTTCTTTACTGTATATACGTTCATAGCTTTAACTATTTGAAATGACTGAGTACGATGTCACTGCAAATTTGTACGGCAATTTGAAGTTATTAATCACTTATTCGGGTATTGAGGTGACCTTTAGTTGTCAACTGTCAGCAAAAAACTCCCTTTCACAATTTAAAAACCTCTTGAGCTGCATTTCTAAAACTATTTTTTTGCAAGGCCCATTTCCATCTTTTAAGAAAAAAAAGCAAGTGCACCACTATTACAGCACAATAAAAATCAAATGAAAATGATTAACAAGAAGCTCAAAATTACTGCTCATAACTGTGAAAGAAAACATTCCTTAAATCTCACATAATCATGATTTTAAGAGTCGTTTAAATGTTAAACTGATGTGGTTCAAACGGGCGACTGTCAGGCTTTTAAGAAGAGAATATTTTACTGTATATTCTAGCAAATATCTTCTGTCCGAGCTCTGAATTATTTACTCTCTATTTTCATGACAAGTGTGAAATTCATTTGTTAACCGAGACAACAAAAACAACAACGCCACGAGGCAGGAGATGAAGCGTTTTAACACAACCAAGGAAAGAAGGAAGTCATTAACAGGCGTGTAAAGGTAACAATTATCGTATTAATTTAGAAATAATGGAGATTTAGAGCAAAACACAGTAAAAGAAACTTCCTGGATAGACGACTGGAAGCCTTTATGTGGTCATGTATTAATGCTAGAAAGTTAAGTCTGTTAAACTAAGGTAATAGACCAGCTAAACTGCGCATTAGTTTGGCTGTAACTGTATCAGTTCTGTGATGTGTGTGACAGCAGCCTCTTTAAATATTTGAATCACAGAGGATGGGATCTGACAAATTAGCAAAAAAAATAAAAGAAGCAAAGCCAGAGCAGCTGTGGCTCAGTCCACATAACAAACTGTCCTTGGACCTGATACTGAACCGTAAAACTGCGCACAATTTATCACTAGTGTGTGTGTGTGTGTGTGTGTGTGTGTGTGTGGCAGAGTGCACCGTATGCACTGTCTTTGAGTCCCTAGTGGTGAAGTGATGGAAACACTGTGAGCATGTGAGCTGTGAGCCTAAGGGACTGTCATTGCTCCTTATTCACTCTTGTCTTTCTTCTTACAGCGAGCATGCCTTTGTGTTCATGCAAACTGTGTGCACTGTTAACATACCAAGACCTTTGGGGGTGATTCCACTGCACTCCAGGGGGTTGATTGCCCAGTAGTAGTACTTCAGAGTGTGCATCAGCTGCAGGACGGTGCCGATGCGGCGAATGGTGGTGTAGATGGTGGCAGTGCCGATGAACTCCGATGACAGGTATGTGTACAGGGACAGCTGGACCTGGAAATACACAAAATACATTCAAACAACACATGCACGGTACGTGCGTTGTCTTTATATGCGCATGTTGACGGACAAGTAGTTTGGGGAGAGAAATAAATCATCACTTTGTTTATGATATTCATGAAAAAAGCTGTTTAACAGTGAAAGGACGGCCACAGCGGAAACTTCCCTCCAGTAAAAGCACCAGTGTTTTCCTGCTTTGTGTTATTTTGATGTTTCTGTGCCTGAAGCTCTTCGAGCCTCATATGAGGAGGCAGTTACTGACTCTGGCATTTGAGGCGTGCGTTCTCCAATCGCTAATTTGCTCCTTTCCTCCTTTTATGTTCCGTTTAAAAAAAAAGAAAAAAAAAAAAGAAGTAAAAAGTAAAAAGTCCCCCCCTTCTATTGATATTCCACTAACCAATCCTCTCAATCGCACTTTCATAGATTGGAGCGTGCTGTACGCTCAGAAATCTCTGAGCTCATTACAGTGACCGTGACGCTAAGGACCAGCCTTAACGAGTTAGCTCTGTTTAGACGGATGAAATTAGCAGGGTGCCACTGCCTGACCATACCACATCACAGCTCATCTAAAAAGGAGAGTGCACTCAGATGACTTAAATGGCCTTCATTATATTACATTCCTCACATTAAGCTGTTTATCTGGTGCAATTTAAAACCATCTCAGCAGAACTTACGAAAATTCTTGATCGTATTGCAACACTTCGGGCTCCGCTGCTCCAACAATGGCTTATTAAAACAAAAACAAGAAGAATATATATTCCTCCCTCTCTGAAAGGACTGTGTTTACCAGGAGAAACGGGCTCTTTTAAAACTGAGCAGGGGACACATTATGAGAGACGGGAGATGTGATTCACATGTGATTTCTTCAAGTGTTTCATTAAGTCCTGAACATGACCGAGACTATTTTCACCAATAACAAAGGTAATGATAATACACTGAGAGGCAGAAAATAATAACACTCAGCGGGAGGCAGAACGGTACAAAGGAAGTAAGATTAAAGGATTTTAAGATTTCTTGTGTGTGTGGGGCTGCTTAGTATGTTTATTATGCTGTTCTTATTGTGACCTTAATTATTATCATGTAATAAGAACTTATCGTCTTTCCTGCAGTGGCACTCAATTGCAGGTAAAAAAAAAAACAAAAAAACAATATGTAATCACATACTTCAGTCACTTTGAATCTCTGAGATAAAAGCCAAGATCAATACGCTGTATTTGTACAGTGTTGCATTCTGACATTCGCACACTCCTCCATCTCCTGAGAAGCTTGCATAGCTTCTGTTTTTACTCCAGGACGCCGTCGGCTGCACCGCTATACCCAGAGGCCAATCAGCTCTCGGGGTCAGAGGGAAGGAGACAGGGAGCCAGGAAGATTTGAGAATAAATGGAGGCAAGAGCTGAGGGGCCCTTCAGCGATGCCACATCGAGTTCAGAGTGAGGAGGAAAAGAGGAACAACACATCGCTCTCTGTCCCGAGGTCTTTTCAAATGTCACTTTTTCTTATTGTTTCCCCTCGTTCGCGTGTTCTGTCCTTCTCCTGTGTAATGCCCCAGCCCCTCCCCCCAATGTCTTCTTCCATCCTTGTTTATTATATTATTGTAAAGGGCAAAAGCCAGTGAGAGATATCAGCCCCTCCTTCATCTTTCTTTTATGATGTTTACATGTCTCTCTTTTTTCCTGAATTCAGACCAAACCTAGAGCACACAATAATCAGAAAAAAACAGTATCTCTTGCTTTCTTTTTATGTTTTATGTTCTTCCCTCTGCTGGTTATTTTTTTACAGGCCTCCAGACCTTTATTTTCTTTGCAGCAAGGTCATGTAAAACACACTCGCACACATTTTTAGGAGGTGCCTGAAAATAAACAGACCTTGGCGGGGGTGTGTATCCAGATGGCAGCGTTGAAGAGGACATGGTCACAGAGCTGTTTGAGGAGTGGCGCTCCATGAGGTAAACCATCCAGATACTTGGCAAAGGACAGGAACTGCTCAAGCACTGCCCTGGTGATGTGGACCCGTGAAGACTAGGAAAAGAGCACGCAATTATAGGTTTGAAGCTGATAAAAGAAAAAAGCTGATAAACACTCTTTTAAATTATTATTATTAACGTTTTATTTGCTGTCATCCTACAGTACAGTCAGTGTAACCACGGATACAGCCAATCACCTGCTGAATGACGCTTTTCAATACATAATTTTAGGTACCTAAGCTAGAGTTCAACACAGGTCTCAGGTAATTAATTTACACCATCTGTTTTGTTAAGAAGTGTGCATATGATATCGCTGTCTCTTTCCTCTGCACATTTCTATCTTCGCACAACAACTTCTAATACCTACACTGCACCGAGGCCTTGAGACAACGCTCCTTTCTTTACGTTTTTCTAGAAGAATGGGAAACATATACACAACTAAATCATATTCTAAAAAGCTTGTAAGTCAATATTTGATATGACCACCTTATTAGCACAGCCTGGACTCTCTTAGGTAAGCTTTCCTGTAATGTCTTTAAGCAGAATAGCTCTCCAGCCTTCTTAAAGGACATTCAAAGCTCTTTTATGCTGCCTTTTGTTCTGTTCTTTGTCAATATGATCCCACGCTGCTTTAGTAATATTGTGGCGTGAGCTCTGGGGAGGCCGATCCATGACCGACAGTGTTTCAGTGTGTTTTTCTATCCAGGTATGCTTTTACTAGATTGGCGTTTGGGATCATTATCATGCTGAAATGTTTTCACTGATAAAGATGTTGCAGATGGTACTGCATGGTAAAAGTCTCCAGCGTGTTTTACAGATGGCTGTAGACACTGCTGTACCTCTCTCCTAACTTCACATATTTAAATTTGGATTCATCGCTCCATAAGACTTGTTGTCACTGATTTTTAGTCCAATTATTCTAATGTAATTTAGCATATCTCAGCCTTCCCCACCCATTTCTCTTCCTTAAGTATGGCTTCTTGACAGCCACTCTTCCACTCAGACCATTTCTGATGAGGCTTCAGTGAACAGTAAATGGATCAACTTAAGATCCAGATACATCTCTCAGGTCCTGTGGCAGGTCTTTGCTGGATTTTGTCCTATTTCTTAAGGACCTGACTCACATACTGTTCATCTGCTGTATGATTTTTCAGCCTGCCACTTCTGCTTTTGTCCTCCACTAGTCCATTTTCCTCTCACCAAGTTGTACACGCAGTATAATGTGGAAATATGCCACATTATTGGCTAATAGCTCTCTGGAAATAACTAACTAACGAACTAACTAACTAATAATACTATTTTATGTCAGATTTGTCTTGGAAATTTACAGATTCAACAGCAGAAATGGGAAACAAATTATGTGTTTTGTGACAGGCTGCTAGTAACTAAATGCTAAATTTGCTAAATTGCGGTTCATGTGTAGACACAACACTGGTTTATCTCGTGATTCATAGGTACACTAACAAACAAAAGCATTTCTCTGAAGATGGTCAAATACAAGGACTGGACTGAAAATGAGTGGAAAAGCAACCAATGTCCAAATAAAACTTTGAAAGACCTTCGGAAAGCTTGAAAACATACATGCAAACATGTATATCAGGAATTTCTGGCTCATTAGAAGCGAAACATAAAGGAAAGACAGGTGGCTCAAGACTTTTGCACAGTTCTGTAATACTGATGAAATGCAATCAACACTGCAATAAATTTGACCTTTAATATTGCACTGAATAAAATAAAAGAAACACCTGTCAGTATAGCCCAAAACATTTTAACAAAACAACAAATGACAAAAATATTGTTGCATCACGCCGCATCAGGTTTAAATAGCTATATACATATAAGCTACCTAGCAGAGAATACAGCGGAAATGTAAGTAAAGCTTGATAAAAAACCCTGATGAACTTAATGGAGCTCAAATAGAATGCAAACTCTTTCCTGGAGGCTCTTGTACTGACCTTCTCGAGCAGGTATCCGATCACCAGAAAGCCTTTACCGCCCAGCATTTGCTCCTGCATGGCCACTGAGCTTTTCAGCAGCTCCACCAGGAATGCCAGCAGAGTAGCACTGCAACATAAGCACACACCAGCAATGCTGCATTGAAATCACTACTGGACAAACATGTTTACTACTGCAGGCAAGACGATCCATGTCGTGTTTGCTTCATCACTCTTCAGACCCACATTCACATACCCCAGCATATATTTTTAATAAGCAAGGTGCTTTGCTGTTTCTTATTGTCATTTCCTTGATGATATATTTTTTAAATAATCGGACTGCAAAGCTGCTCGATACTGGATGTAACTGGATTAATACTGATGAGATGGGGCGGTTTAGGGGAATCTCGGAGCAAGGAGAACACGTTGACTTTCTAAAACACCTTGCTCTTCCTCCTTTTACTCTCTGTAATCAGTTATTTTGTAGCCTGCAGCACAACCGAGGTTATTCTTTTAAAAGGAAGACAACTCTCCCACATACGACATTTACCTTTCTCTAATGTCAACCATTGTCTATATTTACTTCTTCTCATTTTCCCTAGTTTGTTTCGGGGTCCCTACTAGGATCAGCTGCAGCACTGCATAGCAAACAAAACATGTAATATTTTGAAGCTTCAGCCTGATTTCCTCTGCTGGAAAAGAAAAAATGGTGCAGTTGATATAAGTGCTCTTCAGACAGCCATCAGGTTCTCTGTATTTATGCAGATGACTCACCAGACAGTGGTGTCCACGCTGCTGTCATTGAGCTGCTTGTAGTCCAGCTGTGCAAAGAGAGGGAACAGGACCTGTATGCCTCCTATAGAGTGAATGGCACTGTGGATGGAGTGGGTAACAATAGCCTTCACATCCTGGGGGTTGGAAAAAAGACTGTTAGCGCTGACTTTATTTGACATGTTCACACAGTAGAAATCACATGCTCACTTCCACTATTAAAGAGCAAACAGCTCTCATATGCAGACTTAACAATAGAAAATGTTGCAGACATTTTTTTATTCCACATATGGTAATTTAAGACTCGCTTCTTTTCACACACACATTTAGTGCATCTATTGTTTTGTTTTTTTAAAGACTAGTTTTAGATCCCACAGAGACAAATTGAAACAATTTACTTCAAAATAATTTTAATTATCTCAAAACGGAGCATTTCCTTAGGGCTATAAATGGTACCTGTGTACCACTTTAAGCTGTTTTAACCCACTGAACTAAAATCATGAAAAAGGCGACTGCAAGACCTTCCTTAACTAAATTAACTGGATAAGAAAACAGGACTCCCTTTGTGCCCTCATAATTATAAAATAGAGAATTTGCTGCCTGGATGGTTGGTGCATTTTTCACACACTGTGCAACTGAGGGAATTCTCAGAAATCAGGAGATTTTTTTTTAAGAAAAGAAAAGCACCACTGGTTGAGCAGACCTCCATCAACCTTGAAAGATATATGCTTAAACATAACTACAAGCAGTATCCTTCAAAGAAGGTTAAACTAAGATCTAAGAGTCCTGTCAAAATCAAATCTGTTTTCTATATTTTCTTAAATATCATATCAGCTATAATATCTTATACTGAGGAAATCCCTTATATCTACAGTACTCCAAGCAAGGTAAATACCACTTATTTTTCACAAATGCAATTGAGGCGAGCGTGAGTCAGCCTATGAAAAACTAGCTTGATAATCACACTGAGCAATCACTTCATTCCACTTCAGTCATTCACATATGCATTACTAAACACATCAAGAGCTGTGGGCTGTGATTTAGAGCGAGCTCTCTCAGAAGAAACAAGCCAAACTAACCTGTAGCATGAGTGCGTGCGGTGAGTGGACAAAGATGGAAGGGTTTTCCCTGGGCGACGACTCCAGGCAGAGCTGGGCATCCGTTGCCTTGGCGTTGTAGGTGAAAGAGATGGAGCTGGCCAGCTTTCCGTCATACAACACCTGCTTGTGGTGCTCAGCCAAGTGGATGTCGCTCTCGGACTTGAACTTGAAAGTGCTCTGCAGTGGCGGTGGAGGTGGAGGAGGAGGAAGAAGAAGATGTCAAGGGTTGTGTGAGGAAACCATTGAATCAGACAGACAAATGACTTTCCCCGAGACGACAGAAGCGCGTCTCTGTGTGCACAAGTTCAACACCCAAAATGGAGTCTGCTTAATTGCAGCATGAGCCGTGTGTAAACAACACAGCATTAGCTTAATGAACACAGCGCTAACCCGGGCACTAATTCAATTAGCCCAGAATAAGAGATGGATGGGGGAGCGGATGTGTGGGAGAGGAGCACTCGGAGATCCAAATTTATCTCTCTCTTTGTAGTCCACCAACACCAAACACACAAAAGAGAAGGGAAACATTATTTACATTTATCCCACAAAAAAAACAACAAAAAACCCACACAGCCTGGAATCTAAAATAGCTTTACTTTGGATCATTTTCTCACTTTTCTGTTCCTCCACTGACATTATGGACGAATGTAACACAGCAGTATGTTGAAACCAGGACACGCGGTCTAAAGATAGACGCATTTCTTTAGTCCACGCACAAATTGTAGGAACTGTAGGTTGCACTTCATCTGTATCTATATCCGTCTATCTGCACAGGTCTCTGGGTTCATGTGTCCTGCAGCAGTGCTGCTACACACAAAGTATAAAGCCCAGCAGATGAAAGGCCAGCGGACTGATCTGCCACCCTCTGCAGCAGCTCTAGGCGGGGGCCGCTCTCCACCTACAAGCGTCTGGGTCCCCAGGTACCTCACTCAGCCTGACTGCACAGGAAAGCCGCGGGCCGATGACAGACCTGCAGGCCCGTCTTCTTCTAAACCTTTCATCTGAGGTCTAGCGTAAAAAAAGATTAAAAATGCCCTGAGCAGTTTTAACCATGCACCACTAAATGTAACATCCTTATTTCCATCCAAGGGCTGAATACAAATTTACACTAAACCTTCTCTGATTCAGTTACGAGAAACACAAAACGCTTCCTTGCATGGACACGCAAAGAGGAGCCGGGAGAGGCCACTAATCTGCATCTAAAGCCACTTTTCACACAGTCTTCACAGCACAGCATTGTTTGCAAGAGTAATTAATGGTAATTACAGCATGCTTCTATTTTCTGAATTAAGAAGATATTACTTTAGTCAGATACGGGAGCTGATGACCCCGTGTTAAACAGCTCCTCTGTGAAGCAGCGTGTGTCAATAAGCTTATCTGTTAAAAATTGTCTGAAATTCTGCAATAATTCTTCACAATCACTAATAAAAAGCCTCTTCAGTTTATTTTGGAGCGGGCCCTACAAAAGTATTGTATAGCCTGAATGTGAAATTAATGCACTTATTAGGATGCAGATTTATTGCAGCGTCAGCCTGTTTATTGTGCTGTACTTACAAGGTGTGTGTGTGTGTGTATAGACGCAGCTCTTTTAAATGTGAGCTTGCATTCAGGTTGCCATAGTAAAAAGGGGAAAGGCGGGCTGCTGAAAGCGTGAAAGATCTTTGCTGACTCTTCAAAGTACGAAGACATAAGGGGATATCCGTCAGGTGGAAGGAGGAACATGCATTAAAGCGTGGGTTTTTACATATGTAAAGCCTTACGCGGCTGCACTTAAAAACATGTGTCCCCTCACACCGAAAGGAATGAAAGCGACAACTCTTGCCTTTTTCGCACCTGACAGATGCAGATGCGACATGGCCTGCAGTGATAACGGCGCACGAGCCCGTGCACGCACGCTTAAACCATTCAGCTCATCCTTCGCCTGCCTGCAACTCCAGACAGTTTACTGAATGACGGCCAACTCTTCAGGATGAGAATTCCAGCATCTGACAGAAATGTTTCCTGACTTATTATAAGCTATTTATAAAAAAAAAAAATATCTAAATCTAGGACTGGCTATCTGTAAATATTCAAAACTAAATGTCAACTCTAAACACTTTCTAAAACTGAATTAGAGCAAAAATATCAGAAATCTACCAAGACATTTGTAGCCAGCGTTAGTCACACATGTTAATCTGCACAGAAATCTAAAGGTTCAACATTAACAACTCGCACCACAAAAAAAGATTGTGAATGTCACTATAATGAAACATATGAGACATACACACAACAACACACACAAGCGCACAATGCAGGTGTCCAGATACATACTCGCATGGTTCATTAATTAAGTTGTGGCCAGATTGCTGGCAGAGCTCTGCAACGAGGACATCTGGACCTCCTATAAACAGTGTAACCAATGACATATTCAACACATGAGTGGCAGGACATATACAGAACACACACATACACACGCAGAGGAAGATAAAAATAACACCAGAGCTTCCTTTCAACCGTGGCCCGCACAGAAAAACAAGACGTTATGTCCCGTCTTCTTCTGTCATTAGGAGAACATGGAAGTGCTGAACTGCGCACGCAGACATTTAGCACAAACAGCGTGTCAGCCATCATAAGCCTCGTCGAACCGGAACACCACGCGCACCCTCACTGTGCTAAAGCAGAGTGTCTGTCTGCTTCCTGTTCCTCATTACTGAACAGTAACACTGACAGTGGCCGGGACTAAGAAGCCGCATACGGCTGCGCGCACACATACTGTGTGTATATATGTGGATACAGTTCGATTAAACACAGACTAGGCAAAACCCAAGAAGAAACGTATAACACACACACACATACGTCCACATATGCGTGAAGCCACGGGAACGAGGACCGACCTACATTCGAGTTAAGACAGGAAGCTGCGTGACACAAACAGACCCACTGGCGTCCCTCCTTTGGCTGAGCGAAAAGCCCACGCACTTGTCATTACAATGCCAGCGCCGAGGCCTGTGGCTTTAAAACAACTGAGCCATTTAATGGTCTCTTCTGGGCATCTGAGAAGCCCATTCTAAGCCATGCAGAGAGGCAATCATCTGACTGATCAGCCTCAGGAAACTGTGGGCTGTGACAGAGAGAGGAATCAGTATTCATGGCAGAGAAACAGCAAACCCCATGCATGCGATCATTTCGAGGAGCACAAGAGAAGTCTAGTTCATCAAATGCCTCGATGATTAAAAGAAAAAAGGAAAGGTGTAAAGGCCACATGTATGATTCAGCGCTCGTATATGAGAGACAGCTCTAACTCCTGCATTCTATATACTGCATCTTTCCCCGTCAGCGTCACAGTGACAATTTCAAATCCCTTCACCGGTGGGCCTGTAGTTTCACTTTCAGGCCGGCCAGATCTTTACTGCATCCCATTCACCTGTTCTCCTTCCCCCAGATCGCTCATGTATACACACAGCTGCCATCTAATACATGCAAACATGCCAAAGAAAAACATTATTTAAAAGAACAAAATCTGATTAAGGATATTTTCTTTCTAATAAGCAGCTGAAATCACATCAGCTGCCTTATCCCCATGACGACTCGCGGTTTTTAAAATTCTGACATCTTTGGACACCTTCATAAACAAGTCGTAAGTGGCCTGAGGCGTGCGAGTGTGCCAAAACAAGAAGCAGACAGCTGGCAAGGCATTTCAGCTGCCACTGATAGCCAGACCAAAAGGCAGAAACTGTGATTTCTAAAGCAATCAGAGCTCAACACCCAACATTGTGAAGCCTCATTTAAATAACTTTAATAACCACAGGAACACAAAGTCCTAAAAAAAACCCCCAAAAAACACTTGAGTTAAAATGTGGCATGTATGGATAGTTCTGTATTTGCCTTTTGTGCCTTTTTAACCTCAAGGAAATGAGTGCAACCAAAAAAAAAAAAAACTAGGTGTATGAGTAAATCTAGGCATTCAAAAAGCTCACTGAGAAGGAAGGTAGATGAACTCAAGCTGTACAACATCATCTGCTGCTGTCTTCACAAACTGATGTTGATGACACTGAAACTGACAGAAGCACGATGAATCAAATGGAAAAACTCCTGCACCTTTTAGATTACATTACTGATGACCTCTATGAGAAAGCCTGGCTTTGAACAATAACGTTTGATGTATATTTTTACATTTAGTTTTCTAAGACGTGCGTTTTCTATACTGGAATAAACTTGGTATTATTGTTAAAAATGTGTACAGATGTTTTTTACCTGCTTTCAAGTTACGGCTTCACACATTAGAGCTAAAAAGCAAGAAGTAGCTTCAACTTAAACCAAGACAACGGACACGTCAACAGTAGCAGCAGAGAAAAGTCTTATAAACAGATAAATGTTTGAAGTGCCTAAAAAAATGTTCTTATTTAAAATACTACTTCTAATCAGCTCGTTAAACACACTTCATATTCTAGTACTGGGATGAAGTACTTCATAATGTCTTCAACAGGGTCCTGAAAACACTGCTCAGAGATTCTGGTCCATATTGACATGATAGCACCACACAGCTCGTTCCACCACATCCCAAAGGTGCCCGACTGGGTTGAGATCTGGTGACTGTGGAGGCCATTTGAGTGCACTGTCATGTTCAAGAAACCAGTTTGAAATGATTTGGTACATTATCCTGCTGGAAGCAGCCATCAGTAGATGGGTACGCTGTGGTCATACAGCGATGGACGTGGTCAGCCACAATACTCTGTGGGGCTGTGTTGTTTAAACCATGCTCGCTTGGTACCAAGTGTGCCAAGATAATATGCTCCACACCATTACCCCTCCACCAGCCTGAACTCATGGCACAAGGCAGGATGGACCCATGCTTTCATGTTGTTTACACATTCGGACCCTACCATACAATCACAATAGACAAGGAGACTCATAAAAACCAGATGTTTTTCCAAGCTTCTATCCAGTGTTGGTTTTGTAGCCTTCTTAGTTTTTTTAAAGTTCAACCCTGCCTTTAACTTTAAAATAGTGCAATAATTAAGATTTGTGGTCTGTGGTGAGGCCCCAATATTTCAAGATCGCCTTGATTTATGATATTACATTTAATCAAACACCGTTATTGTTTGTGTTTAAATCAGCACACAGCAGGTACCAGTGCACAGTGCAGACTTTGAAGATACAGGTAAAATCCTCAGGTTATAAACAACAACATGAATGGAAACCGACAGCATATAGAAACATTAAATAATAGTCAGGAGGCCGGGATGTTCTAACTGTGACACTGAAGCACTGCAAAGCATTTGGAGAACATGTGCTATAGTGGTGATAAGCATGGATGCGGGCGCTATCTCACCTTGTATCCTGGGCCGAGCTGGTGAATAGCAAAAATCTGAGCTGGGTTGAGAGCTTCACTGAAAACGTAAATGGCCCCCAGCTGACCGCAGAACACCCTGTTAGCATCTGCTGTCTCTGATGAACCCAGGAAACACTTGTCGTAACTCTGAAGGAAAGACAGAGCACAAGATAATGTTACCTTTCAGACAATCAAACAGAAATGTAATCAGAGTAATCGACAGTTTGGAGAAAAATAATATGTTTTGAAGTTTGCTGATCTTTACAGTGATCTGAAAGACAGATATGGTTCATTTTGAATCATAAGATCTCTGAAGCTATAAACAGTGGATGGTGGAAAACAGATAAACCTTTGATAGCTGCTGGTTCCTAATCGCTCGGTCCCAACTCTACTCTCACCTGCTATTACATTTGTCCCGTTCGCTCTCATAGCCCTTATCACAATGAAATCTTTACTCCTCTGCCTTTTTTCAAAATGAGGACAAACGTTTTATCTTCGGCCCTCAGGACCAAACAAACCCCGATACCGTCGACATTTTCCGAGACCCTTGATTTCAAGTCTCTGAATGAGCTGCATGAACAGCAAAACCCTCTCCCTCAGTTTCTTACAACAACGTCAACCTTCAATACCAGCAGAAATGTCAAAAGCTGGCCAGGATGGAAGGGGAACAAAGGCCGTGCAGCTACCTGTCACCTGCTAAATGGAAAAGTTGGAAGTTGGAGTTTGGGTGAGCTATGTTGGAAAGAGGCCCAAGGACAACTTTGTTCCTGCTGACAAATGCAGAGGGCAAACCTCAGATGTCTGCCAATATCACAACAGGAGAGAGGTGTGAAGTAGAGCCAGGCCAGTACTGGATTTCTGACAGTGCTGCGGAAATCCTTATTTTGAAGCTAAATCTATTTTTTTAAGCAATCGTCAAATAGAAGCAGCTGAATAATGAACTCCGCGTTCATAATCAACTGTGCACGCTACCACGTAAAATCCACAGCAAACAACATCAGCGCCCTTACATCGTTGGTGTTGACGTGCCAGGCCATATCACCATAGGAGACCAGCTGACCGTTCACATAGCAACGGATCTCGGAGTTCCTCCAGCGGTTGTAGATGTGGACGATGCTGATCATATACCACTGAAAAATTGAAAAAACACATTAAAATAAAACACACACACACAAGATGATTAATCAAAACAAGAAAAGCATCACTGCACCAAATTACCAAAACAAGAACTAAATGTTCTTTGATTTACCCGAGGCTTTTATATTTATGGGAGTTCTTCAGAACTGTTTCGTGACGACTGAGACCTTTCTTGTTTTGGTTTTTTTCGTTTTTATATACAACCAGAACGGTATTTTAATCGATTTTATTCCTCTGCCTCTGCTCTCACCTTGGCTATTACTGACAGTTGTTTGTCCATCAGACGCATTACATCCAAACCCTCAGGGCTGAATTGAAACTAAATTGAAACTTAGTGAAAAGGTGACGCATTCATACTGAGAACTGAGAAATACGGCAACGGCCTTGGCGTATAATGTTTACTGCTACGGGGGTCGGGCGGTCCACAGCGATGACACCTGAGTCCCGTGCTGCAATTGCACTTTTTGGGATTTCCTATTTTTATACCTCATCTGCTTTTGAAATGCAGAGCGAGTTATAGCCTGTTGTCATGTGTTTGTTGGGGTGTTGTGCTGTGACAGCAGAGAGGAAAACCAAGAGTGAAACACACAACGACAAAAAAAAAAAAAAAAAAAACACAAAAAAGGGCTCACAAGTTAGGCAAATAATTTGCTTTTTTTATTCTTTTTTTTTTTTCCCTTTTGCTTCTCAGAGAGAGTGAAGGGATCTCTCGGGGTTGCAAGTAATAGAAGGAAAAACACTGTCAGCCTTGATTGCTCCAAAATATCTGGTACACTGATGTTGTTGATTTGGACAATGGCTCTGTTGGTGGCTGAATGCATCATACAGACTACTAAGCTACTGTAAAAGCAAACCAGTTGAAGCCTGTGGTGAACAAAATGTGTTACTTGCACCTTTGCACTTGTTATTTAATAAACACAAACTACTGAAAGATATTGACAAAAGCCTCCTGCTGTATCCACTACTGTATGTTTTCATCAAGACTTTATTTTATTTCCTAGCTTAGTGAAAATTCATATCTTTGTAATACAGAGAATACTCACTCTCACTGCCCTCTACTTTAGCTCACTATAAGAAGGTCAGCTAACATGAATTACAACACTGTTGAACTCATTTACTCAACAGAACGCTTGTTGTTCTCTCTCTTTTTTCACTTTGCCCACCTTTATAGTGCATGGCTACAGCAATATGCTTGTGTGCCTTCATTAGAAAACATCTTCCCTGGTGATAATACACACAGGTTCCCTGGAGAGAGACTGCAATGGGGAACAGGAGTGCAAAGGGGAGGGTGGGGAAGCTATAATTTTGCAGGTGCATGTATACATGGGGAGTAGGGAGCACAAAGTGTGCGTTGCCAGCGTTCAGTCTCTCGTACATGCATGCACACACGCATTAACGCATGTGCACGACAAGGCAAAACGCTGTGAGACACGGTGGCTTTGAAATTTATCAAATGGAACCACTGGGAACTTCGTTAGGCGGTGCAGGGATTCTACTGGGTCAGCAAATCCTCTGGAAGGCCATCTCATCAAGTAATGTGTGTTTGTTTATGTGCGCGTGCGAGGATGTGTGCGAGCGCGTGTGTGGGACAGTGGCAAAATGCTGACAGCGCGGTACAGGGGCAGCGTGCAGGTCTTAATTGACAGACCTTATCTGGACTCATCAACATTCGGCGTGTGTGCAGAGAGATGGGGGAGAGCAGCAGCACTCTCCTGATGCTGTGTCATTTAACAAGTGGCACAGGAGCTCCAGAAAATGGGTGTTTCTTTTTCTTACCTTGCGGGGCTGGAAATCATATTTCACGCAGTGCTGAAAGCCTTTTCCTTTCGACTTCAACGATGTCACAATGAGGCAGTTTCCCACAAAGTGCGCGGAGTAACCGATTCCTTTACTGGTGCGAAAACTGAAGAAGAATGAGAAAGAGAAACACTCATTTCACTTTGGTGTAGAGTCGAGATACAAGTCTGAAAATGGCTGTGATAAGTTTTCAGCTAGCTGTAAATGAAAACAAATTAGCTTAGGCTAACTTTATGAATGAGCTGTCCCTCTTAATGGCATGTGAACCATGAAGCTGCTTAGACTAAAAGAGCTGGATTTTATTTCACAAATACAACTGCACCTCAAGATACCCTTACTACTGAAATACATGCACAAGGCACCTTTCACAGCCACATATCGCATCTTTTAGGGTCACAAAAAGCAGGATTTTAAGGTGCTTTCTTTTCAGCGATGCCAAGGGTCCCAGATTGTAGGTTTGTGAGAAACACCAGTAATCCCTCCATTTTACCCGCATAATTTTTCTCTTCCCGCGCTTGTAACCTCCACATAAAACCTAGTCTCACAGCTAAGCTTCTTCCTGAAACAAGCAGACATATTTTCTTTTTAAAATAGACCCAGAAGGATCGCGCATACAGCAGGAAGGAGATATAAATCCCTCTCAAGTGAATCCCTGGTACACATTAGTAGGACACGTACTGCGTTATCACGGCCTTCATGCAGCTGCTGAGGCCAATATCAGACAGGCAGCTGGAGTAGCAGCTGCATCTGGGGGAGGATGATAAGACCGGGGCCAGAGAAGAGGAGGCTGCCCTCCCTCTCTCGCACCCTGCTTACCATGACAACCTGACAAACCAAACTGTTACTAAGGAAACAAGATTACATCCGAGCACTTTTCCTGATTAGCACTCATCTCCGAGATAGTATCTGGAGGATATATGGATGCACATCGCGCTTCCGTAGACGACTTCACAACCGTTTCCCTCCGTAATGAATCAGAGGGAGGAGAGGTGAAGGCAGGACGGCGCTAGTTAGTGTCAAAGAGCGAAGAGGTAGAGAGAAGAAGCCAAGCAGTGGCGTGAGGGAGTTCAATTAAATAAAAGGTCAAAGCTAATGAAGCTTCATAGCAGCTAACGGCTTGCACTTGCAACACTAACGGTGAGGCCAGCGAGGGCCAGAGCTGCACAGCGAGGAGGAGGCATCCACCCAACAGGTCACTTATAATGGAGTGTGTTGACATTTAAAGTTATGTTCTAATTTATTATCTGTTTATCTATTAACTTCCTAACCATGTCATTCAGTCTGACTAGTTAACTCATTATATTAAATGTTTCACTGAAGACACTCAAAAGCTGAACAAATGTAACGCTGGAAAAAGATTTGAATAGATCTGATTGTTTAGGATTCGGGAGCTATGTGATCATCGCTGTGTCTGTGGCCAGCTGACAACACAACACTTTAACACTCCTAAGATGAAAAAAAGATGGAAGTGAGGTGTTAGAAGAGCTGATCTGTTTCCTATGAGTCTCGCAGTACTGAAATTGCTGAAAAACACCATAAGAATGGACTCAAACAACTTCAGCATTTTTCTACATCTGATTTTAGACCAAAAATCCTCATTTTTATTTCCCTTTTCACAAATATAATATGGATTACGCGTCTAAACAGAAACATGATTAAAACAATGTCTTAACGCCTGTTGCAAATCAAAACAAACTATCACAATTTGTTTGCGATAGTCAACAGCGAGTGCTAACAGTTTGTTACTTGTCTAAAGCCGTCTGAGTATTTACTTGTATTAAAAAAAATTATTAAAAACCTACAAATGCAACTTGTTGTGATGATTGAAAACATGAAAAAAAATGCTTGTCTGATTTTCAGATTTTTTTTTTTTTATCTTGTAACAGCTGAACTTTGACCCCATGACTCCGCGACAAGTTCCCACGGTGAGAGTTCTTAGGAATAGATAGACAGACACTTTGTTGATCCCACAAGGGAAACTGTGCTTGCTGTTGTGAACCCTTCTGAACAAGCCAAAAGTAGCTTTTGTTGCCTAAAGACAACAACAACTTCAGTTCATCCTCTGTCTCACACAAGCAGTTTGACCTCCCCTTCCTTTAACCCAGAATTCTTTTGATTCATTCAGTTTCTGACGTGACGTTAAAACCCATCACGTGCGTGCACCCTGACGGAAATCTGTCCACTCAACCTTTCCAAAAGCACCGATTGAAACCTTTCTTACATGCACATTTGTGAACCTATCCTGTATGGCGTTCATACAGATTGCGACAGATTGCAGTCTGCAGTATATTAAGTGCTTTCGCATACTGTGATTAAGTGCAGCACACTTTCAAACTGTGTCATCCGTGTTCACCTCAGGTTAGTTTTCTTCCAACTGTAACTATAATGCTTTTTGACATCCAGAAGGAACAGGCCTGAACTTGCTTTGTGCAGCTATGTCGGCTCCTCTGCTTGGATCAATAGTGAAAGCACAAGGACGTCTGTACGAACTAAAACCACTTCGTACACAAGTAAAATTTCTTTAAACTGAGAACACTAGCGAGTGCTGCCACTATAGAAATTTGCTCATGTCTGAGCCTCTTTTGTCATTTTCTTTTTCTCAAACCTATCTAGAGTTTTGTTTTTTTTAAAGCATACCAAGAGTCTACAAAGAAATCCTGTGCTTTTGTGATCCCGGAGGGCTGATAAAAAAACCCAACTTGGCGACGTTTGGATTCCTTTTCCTCGATTTAACGCCTCTCTAACACAATAATATCAGGGTGACATCATTAGGTCAACAAGTCAGGGAAATAAGTGCAAGATTCACAGCTAACAGAAACTCTTTAACAGTACTCGAGCTGATTTTTCATTGAAATTCAAGAAAACGTACACGTTTGAAGATGTTTAACTTTTTCAACAGTCCAGATGAATGAACTTACCAGTAGAGGTACGGCTTGTCTTTATCCACATTGATGTTGTTGAGTGGATCCTGCCTGAACCAAGTGTTGATAGTGAATCCGTTCTGGTATGGCCATTTGGCAATTGGTGGTAAAGCTATAGCCTGGAGCAGAACAATCAGCTATCACTACACTCATACGCACGAGAAAATGCCCTTTAATATGAGCTGACTGACTGCAAACAAGCATAGATTAATCTGGATAAAAAAGAATTATTCTGATAGATAAGTGGTGTATAAGTGGTTAGTGCGTTCTGGTCGGTCTCACCGCTGCACTCCGGCCTGGAAAGTTGAAAAAGGTGTCCGGGCCGTGTCTCTGTGGCATCTGGTTCAACACTGACAACAGCTTGATAGCGTGTCTTGGCTGGAGGAGAGGAGGGAAGACCAAAGTGACTGCCATTATTAAGTGACAGATGCTCCCTATCAGGGGCACAGGAGAGAGTAAGACTGTTAAAAAAAACAAAAAAAAAAAACAACAACATGGTGTGACATCACATCTCTACCACAACCCAGCTGGATCAATAACTCTTCAATCACCTCCGTCCTACCCCCGACAACACCTCATCAATACCATGGCAACCCTTAATCGATCTGTCTCTGGAGAGGGCTGCTGAGGGGAGGAGGAATCGGAAAAGATGGGAAAACAGCGGTAGGTGGATGGGTTAGTGATAGATATTGGACAGCAGAGAGCAGTGGACTGCTGATCAGTGACCAGAGGTTGCTGATGGAGGTTGCCCTGGAGCCTGCCTAGAAGGGGGGATTGCCGAAGAAGTGGCAAGGATTCACAGGATGAGTTAACAAACACCGAATCATCGCACACTCTGCAAACCTTGCTAAAACTACAGTCAGTAAGGATGTCATAGGAGACGGTTTAGACTCATAAAACCCTCGTTAATCTTCACAGTACAGTTTTAAAACATCCGCTCTGAGTCAGCTAAACCGTCTGACTAGAAGGTGGGCCAATGAGCAAACTACAGGGAGCTGTTACGCTTACAACAAGAAGCAATGTAAGCTGAGATTGCACTAAGCACTCCCAAATCTAAGCTCCTGAATTAATCCCATTTTCAGGTACTGGCGTTTGTAGCTCTAAAAGTAAGCATGAATCAGCAATAGCAGAAGCCAATTTAAGCAGAAATTCGACAATAAACAGCATAAAAGCCTGAAGCAACCAAAGTGCAAGAGTGGTTCGTGTTGCCGTTTCAATAAAGGAGGAAATGTATTAATCAAACTCTCTTCCAATTGCCTGCAAAGCAATTCACTGAGAATACAATGCCAAATTGGCAGGTTGTGATAACAGACGTTTATTTGGCTCACTGTGCAAGAGTAAAGAAAGTTTGAGGTAAGGAGAAGTAAAGAAGAAGAAATGGAAATCCCCGAACAAAGCATTCAGCTTCATAGAGCGGTTCAGATGATTATATGTGTCCTGAATGTGACTCTACTGGACTCTACTGGCTCCTTCACCTTCACACCTGATTAAGCTTTCACTGTCACTTTTTTTTTTCACCATGCTTCTCTTCAATTACACTAATAAAATCAATTACAAGCAAAAACAAAAACAAGAACACAAGCTAAAGTGTCTTAACAAACATACAAAAATGAATCCTAATATAGAGTCAAAGGTATACACACCCATCCTGCATTATTCTAGTGCATTAGCACAAACATCTCACTAAGTGACATCCAGACTAATGACACGCAGACAAACTCATGCTGTATGGCTAATATAGTTTGCATTTTTTAAGCTTCCACAGCAAGTGAATACCAGTAAATCAAAAACAGTGAAATGTCTAATTCAGCAGCAAATGTGACATCTGTAAAAACAAAAAACCTAAAAAGATCAAACATATCCAAGGTTACAACATCCCAATAATCATCAGTGTTGGCAGAGAAAATTAATATTGCTTCGTGAATACCAGCTCCTCTCAAACCAGACATGAATCTTCAATAATGTTCTGATATATTTGTTGGTCTGCTGCCATCTGAGCAAACAAAGGGTTTCTGACTGAAGCTCCTTCTGTCGTTGAATTGTCCCCTGAGGTACACCACATCAGAAATGCTCCCAATATGAAACACATGACATACATCAAAAATTTTTTTGCAGTGTTGATATTTGTTAAACTGTAAAGAACCATTAAGTGCATGAGTCTTAGCCCGTAGCTAATGGTGCGTGTCACGCCACTTCCCGGCATTGGCCTGCAGGAGAACTCGCTAGATTGGATGACGTACTTTATTCTCTACAGCTACAACCATGCAAACCATAATCTGCACCCTACTGGATGAACTCGTGTGGGCTGTCTGGTTCCAGATCTTTTTAAACCGAGACCAAAGTGGCAGCTCGTTTCCAAATAAGCTCTCTAAGACTGGCGCAGAGGTAAACACATGAAATAGCCCTGCTTCATGACCAGGTAGAGACACAATTTCAGTCTCATGGGGGTGGGGGTCACAAGCCAGTTACTCCTAATGCTGGTCCCAAGCCAGGGTAAATGGGAGGCTTGTGTTAGGAAGGGTATCCAGCATGAAATCTGTGCCAAATCAAACACGCGGCCCCCTTGGGGAATAAGAGAGCAGCCCAAAGTAGCTGTAGTGTAACAAAATGTGTTTCTGCAAGAATTTAAGACCTGCAGTTGCTGTTGCTGTCGTTGTCGACTGACAACAGCTAGTTTTCAGTTTATAGAGGCTTTGAGTTGCGCTGGATGCCCTTGATTTGCATGAAGGAGCCTAGACCACAACACTGCTCACCTGCTTACACAGACAATGAATGGAAGTCGTGGAAATGACAGATCCTGCGGAGACGTACCCACAATCTAAAATTCTAATCGCTTCTTAAATCACCACCAAAACTTACCCAGATGCCGTTTTCGCCCCTCAGCATACTAAAGAGCAGCTTCAACTCCTTGACTGTGATGCTGTAGCTGGCCATGACTCCCAGCATGTCCACCAGAAGGTCTGACAACAAAGAAAACACACACACAAACAAAAGGCAGAAAGTAAGTGTAAGACAGCAGAGATATCCTGAATGTGCATGCTCCTATGAGTTTGTGTGTGAGTCAGCGTTTGGAAGTCTCTCTACTGACATTTCTGATAGAATATGGTGAGGGCATAAGACACTGACAGGTTGTTCTACTGTCAGTTGAGCAATTTATTATTCAGAGAAGTAAAAATCAGCGGCGCTTCATCCAAGTACTCAGAGCTACTGCCATGTAAACAAAACACACACAACCTCAAACCTCAACAAGTGTTGCTTTTCACAGCACTGCTAAATACGGTCAGAGTACACATGACAACGGATAAAGCTCCATTAATACATAATGATCTTAATACATCAGGGAATAGAAGGCCAAACAACTGAGAAAGGGCTAAATACATTGTCAGCTGTGACAGCGTTAATTATGATTCACAAATATAGCTGTGGTCAAACGTTTACATGTTGTGGTGATTTGGGGCTTTTAATGATTTCTTTGAACTGTTCTTTTTCCAGAGTGCAATGACTGTACAGCTTACATCTTTAATCACTTTAAGAACACGAAGTGAGTTTTGATTTTCTCTAATCCACACAGGGTCACAATTGTACATACGGGCTCAACTATACACATACATCACCTCTACTCCCACTTGGGTAAACATCACTTAGCAGGGTGCACCTCAATCAGACAGTTTTGACAGCCATCAAAAAGCTTCTGATATAATTTTGGATGGACTGGTGGGATTCATCTAAACTGGTTGGCTTCTTGGTACAGACCCAACGTTCCTATGTTTGAAAGCTTCGCCTTTACTCCTGCAAACAAACCTCATGTCATTGTGGCCAGTTAGCTCAATCTTTGTCTCCTCTGACCACAAAACGTTTCTCCAAAAGCCATTTGGCTGATTCATGTGGACAGCTGCAAATTCCAGTCTAGCTCGAAGGTGTCGAATTTGGAACAGGAGCTTCTTGTTTGTTCTGGATCTCCTCAGTCCATGGCAAAAGCTCACTCCACTATGGCCAGTGAAGCCAGTGTTCCAACAGTTTCCAGTTCATGGCAGGCTTGTTGGGTTGTCTGAACATCCTAACCTAACCAAATATCCTCTCATCTGAGGGTGACGCATCTGAATATCCTGTATTTACATACAATTGTTTATTTATGTAAATCTACACAATCCTCCTTCTTAAATCTTCACAGAGTTCCTTCCTATTGTTCTGAGCATTGGTCCAATACCAATTTTTAACCTGGCAAAATCAATTATAATCACTCACAAGAAGTTAACAGACCTTGGACTTGTCAGGTTAACCCTTTAAGCCTGAACTGTGAAATAATTGTGAGAATAAAAAAAAATAATTAATGAATTCAATATTAATTTGCAGATATGATCTTTAACTTGTATCAGGCTTTACAGGGTTAAAAGGCACCGAAGAAGCTACAGCATAACTTAAAAGATTTGAGTATAGGAAAATATTAGAGGCCCTACATTTTTAAATGTTGATCCTGTGTCGATTAGATAAAATCCAAACCAAATTCAAACGTGTGCACCCACTTCCCTTTTTTTAAAGTAATTAAAGATGCTGTACAATGATGAGTGTCTGTAAACTTCTGACCACACATGTCATTTAACTGCTAATAGTACAAAAAACAGCATGCAGAGTAGTATTAATCTCCTTTTAGCAAATAAACCCCAAAGAAACAAAAAACAAATATTCATATTCACCAAAATCATAATCTATTCCTTTAATTTGTTCACATTTTAACAGACAATAGTGGCAAACCTCCCTCTCTAAGGCTGCGAAAGAGCTTTTGTTTAATGGCTACATGTCATGAAATGATAAAAACAAGACTTTAAATACAATTCCCTCTCAATATTCAAGCATATAATTAAATACCACATTGAGGCTTTTGTTTAGCCCAAATGACCTTCCTGCTTCATTGACTTTCACTTTACACAACCACAACAGATCAGTGTGGATATGGCAGAGAGACAGCACAGCTCTCTCAGAGGGAGCCAATCTGCTTAGAAAGGCTCTTCTTTCCCATTAGGCCTGCTAGATATGAATAGAGTCTTCCCATAATATTTCATTAGCCAAAGCCTAGCGACAGGGAATAAAGGAGAGGGATATCTCACTGAGGTGCAGGGTATGAGAGGAAAATGCAATACACAATGTCCTAGATTCAAAACCCCTAAGCTCTGTTTTTGTTGTGTTCAATTCATGTGGGTCATTTTGCATAGGTTTGGAAAAATGTTATAATCACAGCTCTCTGGAAGAATCGGCATTAAATTGATTTAAGTGGCGTATACTCTGCTGTAGTGAGCAGTAATAAGTCAAAGAAGTTATAAAACACATCATCCTGCGGCGCTAGCTAGGGCAGAGAGGACACTGGGGGGGTGGAGCAAAAGATGTGCACTCCGAGGCATCATTAAAGGGAAGCCAAGGTCAATACGTTCATGTAAAGAGGTGAATGTGGATGTGTTGTTTTGCAATCAAGCCCCGTGAACAAATGGCAGTGAGCACACAGAAACACATCGAGGTTAGTATTTTGCTTTTGCTGCACCGAAGGGTTTTATGGATGTTTCACTGCAGGGCAAACACTCATGGACACGTGGAATAGGTTTTGATATAAGGGAAAAACATCTGAGTTTTTTCCATCAAGGTGGAGGCACGTTTACAGATTCAGCTGGTTGTTGCTTCGTCAACACGATTACAAGGTTGAGAGGTTGGGCATCTGTTAAAGAACAGCCCATTAGGTTTTGGTATGGATCCCCATCACTTTCGTTAAAGTAGAGAGATAGGCCACTGGCCTTGGTAGAGGACTTCTTTCCTCTCTGTCAGCAAGGTTATGCAAAAAGTGCAGAACAAAGTGCATGAAACTTGGACGCACAGTGGAGAGCTGGAGTTTACAGAAGGAACTCATTACATATAAATGCAGATTTAGACACTGACCTTAGCACAGACTCTGCTCTTCTAGTCTGAGTCTTACCTATTTTTCAGTATCAGAGAAGTTTTACACCAAGCGTGCAATTCAAAATAAGTGGTTCCTGAAAATTCCATGGGTGACGTTTTGGGTCTTCTTCCAGAACTTAACAAAGTTTTGACACATTCGACTTTCTGTAGTCACAGTTTGAAGATGTCCCCTGAACGCCTCACATGCAAACAGTCATTGTGAAGGCATGCATACAGATAACGCTGGTGGCCTAATAGCTATAAGGTGGGTGTGTGTGTGTGTCACTGCAACTGAATAAAAAACACATGCTATTAAAAGTAAAAGCTAATGGTAACCAAGGCAGCTGTGTTCAATCCCAAACTTTGATTTAAGGCCTATTAACCATTTAAATAATAATAATAATATCATAATATTTTGTTAGCATTTGTTTCAAATACCAATAAGTTAGAATCAATAAGCGATACATCCGCATGTTTCTCTCCTCAAGCACTACCATCATCATAAACTAAGTGTGACCAGTAAGTTCTTCAGCCATAAAGAGCAAAAGCCTTTAAGATAAGATAAGATAGAACTTTATTAATCCCTCGGGTGGGTTCCTCTGGGAAATTCGACACTTTATTTAAATATGGCTGATCTTCTCTTCAAAGTGATGTCATAGTCCACCTCTGTGCCACTGCCAGTGTTTTTTGAAAGCTCTCTGGAAGTCCCGTTCCAGACTAATTGCACTTGTGTATCTGCAATGTGTGCTGGATCCCCTACACTGTCCCGAAACAGCATGAGGTTGGAAGAAGAGTAATTTAGAGAGTATCCTTTGTAGTTACTGACAACTGTGTTCATGTTTCATATTTAAAAAAAAACACCAGAATTTTCAGTGTGCTGAGAGCAGGTGCACAATGGCACGATCCAGTTGTTTGTGTCCTCAGACCCCACAGAAGGCAAAATTTTTGCGTTGACAGTTTGACTCTGGGATGAATTCACAGTGCCAAGCCCAGTAAAAAAGACATTAATATGTTTGGACACGGACACTGAAGACGCTTCCTCTGTAAGCTGTTTGGACCTGGTTCAAAGCCACAAATTTGAGGTCATATTAAAATTGTGGTAATTCGGGGAATTATCTAAAAACAGTCAGGCGTGGTTTTTGCTATTACAGGGTGGAGTTAATTCAGGGGAATTAAGCTGTAAAGTTATCATTATATCCCACTATATTCTCATTTTATAGGTTGTCCAATCTTGAAAAAAACTGATCAAAATACAAAGTATGTGCGCATGTATCCATGTGTACCCACTGCTCACCTGCAATCATGTCGTCCACAGTGCTCATCTTCAGCAACACCTGCTGGATGAGGCCAACCTCGGTGCTGGTCTGCAGGTTGCGCACACTCTTGCGGAGTATGGCTGTGAACATGCTCCAGATCTCCGCCTGGCACGTCACCTCGCAGTGGGAAAGCAGCTCCACCATGCAGCCGATGCTCTCTGCCTCCTGGATGATGAAGTTCATCTCCAGGTCAAACTCGCCGCCCACCAGCTTTAGGAGAAGAAGTGGGAAGGGGGAGAAGGGGGAGGGTTTGGGAAGGGAACAGACGTAGAGCAGGAATTGGGGGGGAGGGTGGAGAGAGAGAACAAGAAGAGTGAATGATTTAGTGTAGCATTTAACCTTATGTCTGAAGGAGAGGTAAGCCTGGCATCTGATGGATGCTGATTGTGGTTGGGAAAGCATCTCTTCTGCCCGGGGCCTCATATGCTGCAACAAATAAACGTCCTTCATGTGAGCGCACACACACACACACACACACACACACGCACACACACACGCACACACACACACACACAGATCATCCTTCCTCTCCTTCCTCTCTTCCTCCAATTACTCTCAGAATACAGCAGGCATAAATATGCCCCTCTCTACCACCTCAGATGCACAACACCAATTGAACACATACAAAGTTAACGCACATGTCAGTCCCTCTCCTCTCTGATGGCATTAGTGTGAGGAGACCGCACTTTAAAAACTAAATGCAAATGATTTTCCGTCTCTTAATGGCTGGCAACTATAATTACTTGGATAAGTACAGCAACAACACGCTAGCACATTAACTAACACGCCACATGAACACAGCCATACCCACACAGTTCACCCTCAGCACGCTACGCTATCCAGGAAACGGTAGCCATAGCAACCAGCAAGCTATGAGAACACCACAGGGGTTATTAAATCAGATGGAAAAGAAACATGCAATAGATATCAGAAGCTAGCAAGACAGCAAACAGGATAAACATTATGACTATTGTGGTGTTTACACGGCATGAGAGAATAAAACTAATCGATAAATCAAGGAGAGTCGGTCTGTTTCACAATGTGATTAAACTGGAGGGGCAGCAGGGCTGTGGTGTGCTGTCTGCAGTCAGGAGCGGGAAGACGCAGATAATGCTGGTGCTGTTCAATAAAGGGTTTATTTTCAATAATTCATTCTGCATGTGGTTAAACGACCCTTAAGCAAAAACTATTACAAGCTCAGCGGGGAATGTAAAGTTATACTCTGCGCACTCTTGCTATCTTTAAGAGATGATCACATAGCAATTTACAAACTGTGTTGTTTTTGGATCACTGTTTAAAAAAAAATAAGTTTCACACACTTAGCTTCAAAATGAAACTTTTAAAGAACAAATACACAATAATATTCATCTGACAAATCAACAAATCTGTATTCGACAGCAGCTAAACACATCCCGGATGAATCAATACACCTTGTGAGACATTTAGATTCACTTCATTGTGTCCAGCACTGTTTTCCACCAAGAGTCTTCCTGGCAATTGTCTAAAACAAAAGGCAATCGTTTGTGTTCACTGACAAATAATACACCTCCTGTTGCAGATGAACCAAATGTTCTCAGCAAGAGAACTTATAGAGGATAGAGCAGATTATTGAAATGAAGGAATTAAATGCGTCTGGTTATTCCGGAGCATTCCCGGAGTTACTGCCGATGTGTTCATCGTAGTGTGTATGTGTGTGAATCTTAGCTCGAAAGCACTTAGATAGAAATGTGCGTGTGAATGGGTGACTCATACAAGTTGTATAGAGCGTTCTGAGTGCTCATGTAGAGTAGAAAAGCACTATGGAAGAACCAGTCCATTTACCTTAAAGCTGTTTATGAACAGCTCATCTTTGCCTCATTTGCTGCATATGAAATTTTATGTTTCAGCCTGTTACAGATAGCACATCTCTGTCCCTGGTATGAGCATCATAACCGCAGGGATGATGAGGGTTGAGCAATAAGTTAATTAACCTACTAGAGTTTTAAAAAAATAATTAATTGATTATCAAAGACAAGAAAACAATTCTGTTGGTAGAAGGGCTAACAAATAATCCAAGGACACAGAAGGGGAACTGAAGTTGTTGTAGTCACCACAATGTTGGTTCAACTTTCATTTTCATCATCAAAATGTTTGGTCGGTTTGAATATTACACGTACAGACGCATGAATCGATCAGCTAGGGACCAGAATCAACCAATTTCTATAATTCTCGGGCCTCATCTGTGACTGGCCAATCTCACATGTGCCCGATTACAAGCCAGTCTATTTCATGCGTGCATAGCAGCACAACCAAACACACACACACACAAACACACACACACAGCCTAATGCTAACATGTCGTTAGCATGGTGGAAGCATCTCAGTGTGAGTAAAAACACAAACCTTTCCAAAACCCAATCAGACTCTTAACAGACCAAACCGAACTTGGATATTTTAAAGAAAAAAAACAACAAAGGAAAAGTGGCTAACGCTAAAGCTATCCAGAGCCTTGGTATGAGCAAAAGCTGAGCAAGAGGAAAATTATAGAGACAAGGGGAAAAAGTGCAAAGGGTCGATATCCTATTATCTGCTGACTTTATAAAAATACTGGAAAAATAATGCAAGTATCTGACATTTATTTTGTTATATAAATCTATTACCACTGCCTTTTTTCGGTAGGGTAAGCAAGAGACGATCCTACACTTAATGATTGATTTTATAATGGAAATAACATTTTACCATGAAGAAAAGTTTATTTTTGTCTGCTTATGCTGTCAGTTGTAGTTACAAAGCAAATAAGAATTGGGAAAAATAAATCAGTATCAGTGGGTCTCATTTAGGCACACCAAGAAAACTTCAGAGCTTTTATAATTACAAGCAACTTTGCAAACAAGCATAGTCTTTGATTATGTCATCCTACTTTCCTACCTGTATAAATGTCATACCCAGCAATGTAAGCTCACCCTATGCTGGAATACCAATAAACACTCCACTACAGCAAACTTTAACACAGACAGGAGAAATGTGTGGGAAGAGAGCAGAGGAGTGACATGTAGTAAAAGACCAGCTGCTGGGGAATGGAACAAGGGACACGCTGCTGTCACCATTTATTAGTGCACAGATGTTTTGCTACCTAAACTGACAAAATCTGAGCAAGTACGCTTCAGTTTAACAGCCAGTAGTTACAGCACTGCAAAAGACTGTTATTAGAAAAAATAATAATAGCTGAAAGTCAAAATTTAGAAAACCTGACTTATGAATACATTTCAAACAAACAAACATCAAACAATGAACACTGATGTAACCCATTTGTCACCGAAGCTCCTGCAAACCTGGCTTTGATCTCACTTTAAAGAAAAATGACGCTGCCATATATAATATTGACATAAAAAAGGTGCGGCAATCATTAGCAACACCAACATTTGTCATGTGCTGCCCCATCCAATGACTTTCTGTGAGTCTCAGGCTCACAGAACTATAAGATTAAAGGTTGGTCCTTATCCATAATATCCATCATGCTTCTTTTCCCTTCCTTTAACAGACCTGCACCTTTTTCAATTCTTCAACACTTCCAAGTGTACAATCAGCATGTTACTTGCTCTTACCTCCCTCTCATTCCTGCCTCTTTCTTATTCTTCCCTATGTCTCTCCTCCCCCCTTTCAGTGATAAGAATTGATCCGCTGCACTCCGTGAATGCACAGATTAGAGTGGACCCCTGAATGAGGTATGGAATAAAAAGAGGAAGAATTAACTCATCCCACATTGAATTTCCCCTTCTCCTCTGAGGTTCCCAATTACAGAGCTCACTGGGGACCACTGTGTTGTATTACATCTATACAGCCTGTCCGTCTGAAGACGCTCAGTATTACATGTAATAGAGGCTTAAGGGGGGGAGGCGGCGTAATTATTTTTTTCTGCAGAAACCTGCTCACGGATACGGAGCAACTTGAACAGAGAAACGCATACATCCCCGGGCCAAACCTACACGTGTACAGCACAAGAATCTCGCTGTGCATACTGCTTCCCACCCGTGTGAGGAAGATCACACCAAGATGAGAGGGGTGATGCAAACGACTGCAACGAATTGAGTCTCGTGACAAACAATAAGGAGGGGGGAAAGCGCGAGTGCAGAAAGCGCAGTGGGAGAAATAGAAGTGTCTGAATAATTATTATTATGTCTGCTCTACCAGAAACAACATCTGGGGGGAAAGAAAAGAAAAACAACAACCTGGATGACACCGCCAAAAACCGCCTGAACCTCAAAACGTAAAAAGGAAGGAAAGTCAGACTGAAAAAGACTTCTTCAGTATAAAAATGTTCCAGTCAAAATTAATGTTCTCCATTTCATGAGACTTCAATAAAAGTGATAGATGCCTGAGTCCATTATTTGCTGGAATGGGGTTTTTAATTGATGTATAAATAAACACGCCACCTAAATAGCAATAAGGCTCATCACAAACAGCCTGAGCACACTCGAGCGCACTCAAGCACCATCACCGCCTCCATCGTGCACAGCCACAAAAGATTCCTAATTAGTTTTATGAGGGAACATGATTCTTTTGCATAAAGACTCGTAACCTTCAATCTTTCTTTTCACCCCCGGTCCACGTGTCTACAGTGTCGGTTCCCACCCATAACGACAATGCCCTCACAAATCAATGAGCACGCACAAGAGGCCTTTACTACCCACCCTGGTGGGTAAAAGACACAAACCAGGGAGGGAGCCACATTGCTCCTCATGCATCACGATAAACAGGCATGGCAGTGCCACCCACTCGCTGACCTCACCGTCTTCCTGGCAACTGCTAGAAGACGTTTGCGTTGGCTCCATTACGGCAACGATTGCTCCCAGAGCACGCCGTCCAGGGCTGGATGTTCCATTCACATGCACGCACGCACGCACATACACAGAAAAAGAGAGCAAGGCAACCAGCTAGAGTTCACATTTGACAGGTAAACACTGGAATGCATATGAACAGAAGCCTACTTGTTATATGCCTACACTGTAGAGTACACTCTTCTGATCACTGAGCATGTGCTGTTTAACCTTGAAACATACTCAGCAGCAGTCTGAAATGTAAGAATATCTCCCACAGGGCTCATGACTGATGAGTAATCTCCTTATATTGTGGTGTATTTATGGGCTTGAGAAGTGTTTGTCTGCCAGACACCACTCGTTCTCACTTTTTCACTCTGTGACTGAGGTGATTATAAAAGTCAGTTATTCCTG